GTTAAAATCGACGTGCACAAGAACAAAGTGGTTTATAATTGTTCATATAGGTGGACGTCATAAATACTGCCGCATGTGTGAGCTTTAGGTGGGCAAAACCAGGATTGGCAGTCTTAGTTACTTGTATTAAGTTCTTCTTGTCTTCGTTTGCGTTATTCATGCTTTTTTGTTTTCTTTGGGTCAGACAATAGTAATCCACAAGAATGTTTTTACCTTGTTGACATGTTTCGGCTGCCAACTGCAAGCCGTCCTCAGTCTTAGGATTGGAATAAAAATGTAGTAAATTAATGTGCATTTTCATCATTTGTTGATCTAGTTCAGATCTTAATTATAAACTTGTTGAAAATGTGCTATTATTCTATTTTGTTTTTGTTTCTGCTCTCTTTGTTTAGTGAAATGAGAAGAATGGGAGTGAAGCATCAGAAAATTACATTTACTGTGGTAGTCATTGTCTGAAATAGTATCATGAGCTCATATTATTTGAATATTTTATTCTAGACTCCTTTATAATTACAAATTAAAGTGAAATAACCCACATGGTGCACACTAACAAAGTAATCAGTTGATTACATGTGCTGCTGTTCCAGAAAAGCTCCTGTCATAATCTCAGTTTATAAATATCTTACATTACATCTTTTTTCTTTCTTTTTTTTACCACCCATACAAATTTTGCATGGAGGTGAATTCTCGTTCACATTGTCACGTTCTAGTCACAGCCTTTCAAGAAAAGTCTTTTGACAGGTTTTTGCATTCTGAGTGCTGAGAGTGAGTTTTCCTGCTCTCTGCACAGGCCTGTGGAAATTTTACAATTTCCATTAATCTGTCAGGCGACTGTAAGCGTATTCTAGCTTGTTATCTCTGTTTAGGAGCTCCACTCTGTCTTCTTTAAGTCTCCTCTTTGAAAACCTCAACATAAGCTGTAAACATCAATTTCCATTAAGTAGAACTGGTTCAGAGGTGGATTACACATTCACCCACAAGCATCTCTTATTTTGAACTAAATAGTTTTCATAACCTTGCATTTCAAGAAAATACCATCGTGAATGATCCTTTGAGACACCTTTGGCTGTTAAATAACTTCAAGCAAACATCCTGCAAATTACAGAGGCAGATGTTCTACGCGTAGCTAAGAGCCACAGAGTGGAGTCAAGTATTCATGTCTCACATTCACTATCCTTCTTTTCCTTTAAGCATCACTCTTTCACTCCTCCACCAGTGACTGCAAGCAGCACATGGTTGATTTTATGCTGAAAGGAGCTTTTCCTCCCCTTTTTCCCGCATTCATCAGTAAAGGTCAGATCCTTTGTAGCCTTTCCATCTTTCCACTTTTCTACCAAACCGGACAAAGCTGACCTTTCCCTCAACTCCCGATGACCTCTGAGCCACCAGAGCGAGAACAGCGCCACTTAGATGAAAACCAGAAATCACAGATGTACAAGTGCAGCCGGTCCTCTGCTCCATTTGGGGTCATTCGTGAAAAAACACTTCACAAACACATGTTCACATTAGTCCCATCGAGAAAAAGGTTGGAGCGGGGCTGTTATCAGGAACCGTTCCTGGACAGTGCAGCTGTAGCATTATACCGATCTTGCCTGTCCAGACGGATCATCCCTTCCACAATTTCAAGGTGCCAGGAATGAAAGATTCTCTTAGCCTGTGTATCCATAATGCATTGTACCGCGTACCGCTTTAGACCCGTATGATAAATATATGAGACAAATACATTTTTTGAATACTGTTGAAAAGTTCTTCCCTGTGGAGACCAGTTTTTGCTGACACAGAGGTAAATTAAATTACTCTTCCAATAGAATATTACTTTTGGAAAAACGTTCCAATCAATTCACTGGAGCTCTTTTGAAGACGGCGGCATGTTTATCACAGGCAACCTGGTGAGTCTTTTTTTTTTTAATGTTGTGCACAAAAGGGAAAAACAAACCAAAAATCTATTTATTGAATCTTGTTTTGCTCCAAAGAAGTGCTGCTTCTTTCCAGTCTACAAAAACACATACAGGCCTTTCAGTTGGTGCATTTCGATTGGCTCCCTCAGTAACTCCGGAGGCTCAGAGAGAGCCTGACTGGAATATACATATACATTTATTTATGCCTGTATTTAATTTGTGTGATTTGCACAGTTTGTAAATACATATTCTTTGGCTGGTGCCGACTTCCTCAACATCCTTAACAAAAACCTGCAGGGTTATGTGACTTCACTACACTTCAGCACAGTTCCTTCAAATACATTGACTAATACTTTATAAGAAACAGAGCGGCTGCCTTGAAATGAAATAATGTCTCAAGGCGTCCAGCGGTGGCAGTGGAATGTCCCCGCTGATTTAGCGCACTGTCAGTTGACGATATATTTTGTGTAAATTAATCCTGAGATACATCAGAGAGCTAATAAGGCATTTGGCCTCCTGTTTAGCAAGCAATGATCTACAGCCAGGAGAGAGGCAAGAGTCATGGCTGCGCCTCGCTGATGGTCAAGGGTTACCATGGGGACAGAGTAGAGGGTCAGAAGGCAGTGAGGGGGACGTATTCGTCTCAGTTCATGGTGTCCTGATTGTTTTTGATTGGATGAAATGGAGGTGAACCTTTTAGGTGAGGCGGCTCTGAACGCTGTGCCCGAGAGCAGCTAAAGATTAAGACTTTTGATTTCTGCATTTTTCATTTTGTCAACAAATCTCATGAGTATAAAAAAAAAAGCAGAATTTGTCAAACTAAATGTTTGTGTGTTTATTCTTTCAACTGTGCCAGAGGGAAACAATGTTTCCACTACCCGTTTAAACCACATCAATGAGGGACACTTTAGCCATGAACGAAAAAGAAAAAATTATGTGGCAAAACAATGTTACAGGAGCATCAGAACAAATTTAACCACTTTCAAGTGGTTCATAGCAATAAATGAAAACTGAAGATTTGTCATTTTGGCAGAAAACACATTTGCTATTAAACAATCCCTTAGCTTCTAAATAATAGAATTGAGAGTGAGGAGGCTCATAGTTAATAAAAAACTGTGAAGGAAACAAGAGTATAGTGAGCTGAAGGGGGGTAGAATTGTATATTTCAAAGCCTTAATTTTGTAATAGATGCTTTAATGCTGTTTAACGTTGCATTGTTAAAATAAACAAGACCTTCCTTGAGAAAGATATCACCTGGAAGATAGTAACTGGACGCCACTTCATAAATATAATTTCATTTTGGCCATTTTATTGTTTTTTCTAACATCGTCTGTACTTGCTTTATGTTTTTTCATTTTTTGTCTCACGTTTCTCTGCAATCCTTTTGCATCTTTCAATAGTTTATTATCCATGTCTTAGTCAATTGGAACTTGCTGTCATTTTGCTTTTAGTTGCAGCTGCTTGACTCTGACCAGATGTGTTCATAGTCAAGACTCCTCCAGGGTTGACCCTCAAGTCAGTCTCCTTTGGAAGCATACATGGCTGTGAAAACAGTAGGCACCTTTTCATATCAATGATTCAAGCTTCCAGCACACAGCAATACACTCACTGCCCATGATGACTAATACTGGCACTTTCCCCTGTCTCTGGATACTCACTTATAACAGAATCCTGCAGATAAACCCCTTCACTGACCATCATTTCCTCCCCGATGACACCCACAGCACCTCAGCCCGCTCGTTTTATGAGATGTTGTCATGTAGCCATGCTGTTTTCAGGCAGCAGATGAGCCCATTCCTTTTTTCCTGTTGTGCCAGCCAGAAAGCAGATAACCATCAAGCTGCCATGTGTAATGTGAGATAGATGTGAGGCTCAGCTCCGACAGCAGGCTCAGCTGGGGGGGTGGAGAGACTTGGAGTTTTCCAGTCTGAACAGAAATCTGCGTCTGTATAATTGGCTGAAATGAGGAGGGAGGGCCACTTGCTAACCGTGCCATTTTGGGTTCTCTATGATGGAAAATCTCCCCAGTATCAGCTGGTGCAGCAGTAAAAGAGACACACGCATGCATTACAACCAGCGGAACTGACACGTGATTTCATCTCTGCGAGGATAAAAATGCTTCCCCCTAAACGCTGCAATCACTGTTAAACACATACTACTTATTTTAAATACTTTCAAACCCTTTTGTTCATTTAACACATTGAGGTAACACACTTTTAGCTTGAAAACATTAAGTACATTTCTATGGGCTTCATTTTCATTTAGTTTTTATCGTGTTGCATGTCTGATTGTGTAAATGTGAAACTGTCCAAGTCTGTGCAGTCTGGCTGAACAGGCTTTTGGTCAAATATTTGCCAGATAAGTTTGCAAAAGAAAACTGCTGCTTTGTTAGCAGATGGAAATCCTGCTTCGAGATGAAATTCGTGCTGCAGGTTTTCAGGGAAGGAGGGCAACAGCCAATCACCTCTTTTTCTATTTTTACCAGCTAATCTGGAGGATTGTCTTTACAACCTTCTCTGCGACGGTTTCGCTGTGCTGTCATCCCATAAACCCTTAAAATAAATAAAGAGTCCAGAGGTCAGAACTTCTTTTAGCTTTCCCCCGTTTTCCCAAAGGCATTAATTAATTCTGTATCCTTATCCCTCCGAACCCATTTTCTGCTTTTATTCCTTACAAATTCAGTCGCCCACTTTCTGATGACAGTAAATTCTCCAACCTACTTTTTATAATGCTGGATGCAGTCAGGGTTGCCCAGAGTATTAAAAAAAAAATCTCCTTGCTATTTGCTACTCCATAAATCTGACACACACTCCTCTCCCTCAGTCTGTCCCTCGTCCCCCACAGACATCTGCACGGTCTGGCAGTCAATTATATCCCCTCGCCTTCAAAAAGAGCCTTGCTCCATCATTGCATGGGAGGCGGCTGAGACCCATATCTGTGTCTGATCTTTATCCTTTCTCGGCAGCGGGAAAGGTGGAGCTGTCAGCTCAGAGCTCCTGTTAACTAAGGGCGGTGTGGATTTCTCCAATGTGATGCACAGGCCCATCGTCCGCTCACAGGCTAATTAATGAGCTTGAAAAAAAATTCAAGACGCACTTGAAAAACAGGAACAAGAAAATATATTTGCAAATCAACCATTTAATGTGAAACATCCTTTACACAGAGAAAGATCTGAGGTGTATTCAGCTAATTCATTATCCCCTGTAAGAACTTTCGGGCATTCACAAGTGAGAAGGGTACACTTGTTGGAAAGGCCCACCATCATCCATCGTAAATTTGAAAGGAGCGGTCCTCTTCAAGTGTACCGTGCACACCAAAGAGTCATTTTAAAGTCTCTGCAGTATAAAAACTTATCATGTGAGTTGTGGCAGAGCAACACGTTACCGGAAACTTTCTCTTACCACAACATCCCAGCTCAGAAGTTTCCTTCCTGCCTGTTCACAGTTCAGCCTTTCATTTTTCTCTTTGGCTGTTCCACATCACTCTCTTCTTTCTGTCGGCCGGCCTCCGTCCCCGAGCACCCGCTTCTTCAGAAGGTCCAGTTTGTCGTTGGCCAAAGCTTCTCTCAGGGCGCCAAAGAAGCTTTGATAGTGGCTCGTGTTGTGGATCATGAGCAGGACGCCAGCCAGCAGCTCATTGGTCACCAGCAGGTGGTGCAGGTACGCCCTCTGGTGGTTCTTACAGCAGTAGCAGCCACACCCCTCCATCAGGGGCCTGAAGTCGTCCTGAAACCTGGGCAAAAGTTCAGGCAAGGTTTGCGCCGAGTTCAAGAACAGTCGCTGGAAGTGCGAATCAAACACATTAAAGCAAAGATCTGGCGAGCACGTCTGCTTCTAAAGCCCCATGGGGTCCTGCAATGGCTCCAACAAACCTTTTGTCTTTGAGATTCATTTCAAAGCATGTCATCTGTGTTTGATCATCACAATCAAGATCTCCATTCTGTTGTGTTTCTCCTGCGGCGTGCTCCTCTTCATTCGGCCCCAGCACTGCCAAAACACACACGCACTTCATTAATCCCAACACACACCACCATCTCTCCTAAAAGAAAACAAGTCCCTGTCCACGCACTCTGCACCAAAAAAAAGCATTTTATATTCTTGACCTTCACCAGCCCCTGCTGTCTCTTACAGGATTTCCACCACTACAACACACATTTGCTCTGGCTTTGCTCTGAACGCTGAAGGCTGTGCCTCACAGATGTGTGTAGATTATCACTGTGATACCATTTACAGTCATAAAATAGAAAATGAGAAAAGTAGAGCTCATGAATGTTGCTTTTAGGAGGACCATCTCTCTGGACAGCTGCATACATGATAGATGTGAGCAAAATGAAAAGAGGAAACGGAGAAAAAATAAAAAGCAGTGGCCTATAGTTATACGTGTGATTATAGATACAGATTTAAAAGGCAACAGAGGAGCAAACTATGTTCACAGGAAGGTGGAAGAGTGAGGCAGTGAGCAAAAAACTAAAACGCAAGCATGAAAAAAAGGGAAATTATCGTGGGGTCTGTATGCAGCACGAAGCTGGGAAGCTGATAAGCATGTGAATGGAATGGTGCAAAATGAGGCTTGACCAAAAATAAACAGCAAAGGAATGAGATTAAACTTCTGCTGAAGATAAGTTCAACACAACAAGCACAGACGGCAGCAACAACAGATACAGAAATTGAAGTCAGCATGCTGCTGAGCCTCTCAATCCAACAACAACCATCATTTAATGCCTCTCAGACTTTTTCGGAGATCCAAGACGGAGGCATATTTTACTGCTGTTTGGATATTAGGCTTACAAGGAAGATTACACAAATCTTATTGAAATTAGCGATGAGGAAGAAGCCATTATGTTTTGGTTTCGAGACAGATAAGATATATTTCTTTCAGATCTAAAGATAATGCCTTGATAAAGGCCTGTACTCTTCATGTGCCCTTTAGGCCATCACTGCCACCTCTGTGGTCTCTAAAATATTAAAAAGTCCCCTCTGGCTTAAAAAATATTATAGTTTCTAGGATTTCTTTATTCTTTTTTGAATTCCATCACAATTTCCCCTTGAAAACTATGAAAGAGCTGCTGAAAGCCTTTGGTCGCCATAACATCCGTGTTTCATGGGGGTATGCATAAACCGCAAACTTAGAACCACAAACATAGTTCCCGTTTTATTTATTCTGAATTCAGAAAAGAGAACATAAAAAAACAGGAGTTGCTCTAATTTGCTGGGCTTCTTCCGACATGCCAGGTGGTCCATTACAAAGAACCATCTGGGAAACCGAATTTGTTTGCATGGCAGGCACTTCTAAACTTAACTGAAAGGATGACGCATCTATAACTTAAACCAATCAGACCAGTGAACACATCTGTGAGGCCAGTCAGTGAACAGGAGCAGATGATGCAGATTGTCCAAATTAACAAATACCAGCTCTGATTGGCCTTTTGCCGAGGCCAGAGAAAAAGGACGCCAAACTAGACGGATTCTCTCATGATGATAGCCCACCTGTCTGCCAAGGTAAACCAGCAACAGGCAGATGTTTCAATTTACCAGAGTTCCCTAAATGCTCACATAAATACTGTCACCTCACGGTGTGCATGTGCCTGTGCTGCTGCTAATGAACACATTTTGCATGACAGAAAACGGGGGGAAAGCAGAGCTAGCGCTAATCAAGTCAAATGCAAAATATGCAAATGGAAACTTTTCTTAAATTAGTCGACTGAATCTACATAACCATATGGGAACAGCGTTTTGCATGGTGCGAGCGGATCTGTTCATATTCGTGTCCTCATTCCCGGACGGTGTTTCCCTGAGGCTATAAATTCATTTCAAAACAACCTGAAACATCGACGCTACACCGAAAAAAATCTCTCAAAGTTCCAGGAAAAAGCAACTCAATTAGTACAATTTTATTTCAACTTGCTCCCGGACAATCATAAAAACAAACTAAAAACCATCAAAGAGGGCAGCACGATGACTATTTAATTTCTGCTTCCTGATAGCTCTCGAATAGTAAAGTTAAAAATGACATCGGCTGATGAAAAGTGGAAGTGTTGCAAACAATGTGATAGAAGGAGACAAACAGAGGGCAAAAAGGCAAACAGATGGGAATGAGTATATAATATTTCATGCCAAAAAAGACACCAACTCAGGGGTAAAAATTATTTCTGGGAGTTAATAATCAGCTGAGAGGTGAATTAGAATTTCTCCTTCAGTTTGACACCATGGCTGCTTTCACCTCCACTGAACCCCATTATACTCCCTGTGCAGAATCGATTAGCACGTTCTGACATGAGATGTTCCCTGATGCCAAATTTCCCCTCAGCAGGCCGAGTTTGATTCTCCTTTTTAATTAACCACTTTCTCTACGTGCGGGCCAAGCCAGTGCATCTCCAGGAACTCCCACCATAGACTCCTTTAGCTCTCTAACGGTGACAACAATCAAGGGGAAGCGCTCAAACCTAAGCGTTAACTTCCTGAAGCAGCGAAGCTATTGATTTTACTTCGCTGGTATCTCCCCATCTAGTTACGTAACTGCTCTGGGGCTAAAAAACTCTAAACAGCCACAATATAACGCGTGCCTATTATGTGTGGTGTTAACGCCTCCCCTCCAGGGGGATAACCCCCCCCCCACTGCCGTGGATTTCCTTCACATTACCCGAGCACTGGCTCTCACGGCAGGCAGACTCTGCTAAACGAAAACTGATGAAGGGTTGCTCATTTACCAACTCCACAGAGTTTCTATACCGAAGCACTTGGGCGTGATTGAAGGTTTTGTTATTCCCTGCGCAGCAGCGTGAGATGAATGGTTCTTTACATTTGTGTGAGAATCAGGGGCATTAACTCCGGGTGCATTTTAAACTCAACATCAGAAGCTCCTCTTATGGAAATTAACGAACCCTGCTAGCCTCATTATTCAATCATCGGAACAGTTTTATCTGTTAAATGCAACTGTGTGTAATTAAAGACATCAAAGCCTGTTTCCATGTTTTCTAATGCGCTCACGCCTATAACTCTCTGTACTTGGAATCTCCACATATTAAAATGCTGCAATCTTGTCTCACAGCTCATCCATACATCTCTTTTATGTAAAGAATTGGTACTCGGAAAGTTAAAAAAAAAACACTTCAACTATAAGGAATCAAATTTCCCACAACGATCAAATTCCATTAATGGGTCATTATAATCCGAGGAAAGATCCCAAATGCAAACATCCAAATTACACTAATCTAAGTTTGCTCCAGGCGCATAAGGAAAGCTCCTAAAATATAATGCCAGTGTTTCCCATCTTTTGGGGCTCATTTCTTTCATAGCAGTTCCATTATAAAATGTCATTTTGTAGCTTTGGGCAAGGTACATTTACCTGGAAAGGTCATTTGTTTATAAGAGAGCAGAACTATATAAAACAAATGCTTTCAAAGGGAAAAAAAGCTCTACTTTTAGCCCTACGGTATCAGAAAAGATTGACGGTTACAGGTTGCAGTTTAATAAGTACAAGAAAGTTTTGTTGAGGTAAACGAGGGTGCGGCAGAGCGTGAAACACTGCATTTGTGGTAATGTGAAAAAAATTTGGGAACGCTAAAGCAGCGTATCTACGCGAGTAACGAGATCAACAACACAGACGAAGATTAAAAGGGGGTAAATTGTTAATGGGAGTTTTGTGCCAAGGGGCTGCATAAACAATTAATCAGCAGGCCTCTGTGCAACCCATTAGCTGCGAGGATTCAACTTAATTTTGTTTATTTTTAGGTTGTATTTCTGTTCCAGCGGGGCTCTTTACCACACCTGTGGGGGGCGCTCTACCTGCGCGCTCGGGGTCCGGGGAGATGTCGAAGCGGAAGCAGAGAGCGCAGCCTCGCTCCGTCACCTGGAAGGGGAAAAAACTCTCAAACAGGTCCACGCCGGCCTCCACGCACGCCAGAACCTCGTCCGGCCGTCCCACACCCTGCAGCAGCCTGAGAGTCACCCAGGAAAAAAAAAAAGAAAAGACACGGGAAACTTTTAACACTAATGCAACATGTCTGCAACATGGTAGTACCGGGCGAGCGTTGGTCACTGACACCCATGGCGTTCTACATCAGGCGCGCCCTGGAGTGTTTGAGCTGTCAGCTAACTGGCTGCCTCTGCCTGCAGACATCAAGGTCAAGCCCAATTTAGCATTCGATAATGACTCTTCTCCACTTTCTGGCTGGAAACTGCTACCCCCCCTGCAGCTAGAACAACCAGCAGGAAGGATGCCCTGTAGTATTAGAGATCAGCCAACTAAGCAAAGCTCACAGGCAGCTCCAGGTTACAGGCTCCGGCTCCTGGCGGCGCCGCTGTAACGTCGAGAGCCACGAGCAATAAGCAGAGCTCCTCCATCAGCTCATGTATATGAGAGGCCCTCCAGCGAGAGAAGCATCTGAAAGGCTAATTCAATATGGGGAACAAACTATTTTGAGGGAAGTCTGTCCTCGTGACTTTAAGGACCGTCTCTGACGTGGGTTTGGAGAATTGATTGCATGGTCACAATAAACCTTTTGAGTGATCGTGTAAATCCTGACTCCTATGTTAAGTCAGTTTTAACCAACTTGGTCGCACTCAGCCCGCCTGGCACCCCCGGCCAAGTAGGTGGCAAAACTGAAACTATAAGGAAGCATCAGCCCCCAATAAAACGGGGGAAAAAAGCAAGTAGAGCCATGCCAAGCTGAGGGGGCGCCAGTGGAAAAACCCCAAACTGGTCGCCTTTCAAAACGAGCTCCCAAGGACCATTTTTTGTCTGACAAAATATGATGATACATTTTTCCCATTAAAAAGAACGAACACTGATTTATTTCCATTTCTTGCATAACTGATGGAAAACATCACGTAAAATTGAAGAAAACATCATCACCTTGCTGCCAGTCATCTGATCTAGTCAAAGTTCTGAATCTCACACACATTCTCTGTTTAAAGGTAACAAAGTGCATGTACTGAATAAAAAACAGCACTGCAGACACAATGGAAAATGTGGCGAAATGAGAATAAATGAAGGGACGCTGGCACTTTAAGGGGGAGCAGCGAGAGCGACTGTGGACAGACTGAGGGCTGGGGGAGCATGACTGAGCTGCTGGGTATTCACTTAAAAATTAGTCAAGCGTGATCAACCAACTGTTCCGCCTCGGAAACATTTTCTTCCAAACTCACATCTAAAAACTGAAAAGGAAACTTAACAGAAAAATCTAACAAATGATGAGGATGATATTCTGTCAGCTAACTTGAAAGTGTGTTATAGTTACTGTACCACTAACGGCAGCTGTCAGGGCGGGACTGGTTTGAACCCACTCCTTTTTTCTTTTTCGGTTCTGTCTGCGTGACTGTGTTCGCTCACAGGGATGTTTGTGTAACTACCGCAGGGGCTCCCTCTTATCTCACTCAGAATCAGTAGCAGGCCGACCTGGGTTTCTCCTCAGGCAGCTCCTTGGCTACAGCCGTGATCATCTGGGTCCTCAGGGCCTGGTCCATGGAGCCCGTCTGAAGGCCGTCCAGGCAGAATCCTGCCACAGGCCTCTTGGCCGTCTCCCTGGCAGAGCGTATCCTCTCCTCCAGGATGTCCCCTCCCTCCACCACCCCAAACATCTCAACTCCATCCAGTTCCTGGCAGGAGACAGACAGAGCGGCGTTGAAATATTGAGGAGACGCTGGGGAGAATGCTCGGCAAGACAAAAGAAAGAGAAGAAAAAAAGTAGAAAAAAACAGCATTTTCACATTGAAAAAAAGGATTATTCAAGACCAGCTCTTTTCAAAGCATCTTGATTTTGATGACTCAACTACAAGATGGAAATCTGGAGGAGGAGAGACACGCTGCAGGGCTGTCAGAACTTGGCAGCGATCATTGAGCTCACAGGACACAATGTTGATTCAGAGTTACCTGCGGTGCTCTGTCGGTGCTCTGTGCTGGAGGTGCCTGCATTGTACACAGGAACATCTGGTTTGCAGCCATGCAATCAATTTTGGGGGTTTTTCCTGGCTGGGCGACAGCTTGTGGCTGCTACTGTACATCAAAGTGTGCTTTTGCTTAGCATGGCTGACTTGGAAAAAAAAAAGGAAACTGGAGGGAGAAACCAGCTGTGTTTGCGGGCTGCTTGCTGCGTGCCTACCTGGGATTTCTGCTGTACCAGCAGACACTCGTCTAGATGCGCCAGGGTTCGATCCACCGACTTTCTAACCCTTTTGCGGGAGGCGTTGGTTTGCCAGGTCTCTCCGTCGGCCATGCTCTGGTAAAAGTCGGGCTGCACCGTCTTCTGGAGAGCCATGAACTTCGCCACCGTCAGCTCTAGCCGCCCTCCGCTGCCCCACACAGACACCGTCTGATAACAACCGAAATTTCATTCGATTACACAAACCTGCCAGAGCAGGCAAGCAGGTTTCAGCTCTGTGCTTTGGACAGACACCCGCTCTCTATTAAGCCCCTCGCTACACGCCAGGGGCCCGGAGCTCACAAATGAAGGCGTTGCATCATTTGTGAGACACGGGCCTGCTCTCACCTTGTTGGTGGTGTAACCTGTGGGACAGGCGGCCGCGGGGTCGTGGAGGGAGCAGTACAACACCGTGTCATGAAGGCCTGAAAAACACAAGCCCCCGCATTACTTACCGAATATAAAACCTGACAAAAGGGCAACAGGCAAGCACAAAGCACAGTGGCAGAGCAAAGTGCTTCCACTGCCACCCATTAATGGCATGAGGAGCGTCCTTATCAGCAAAGCCAGCAGCAGCACATCGTCAGAGGAGAGAGCACAAAGGCCTTTACAACAGCAATGCTATTACTATTTTTTATTCCAGCACGGCTCCGTCTTTCTGTGGCTTTAGAGACAATGCTGTAGTAATCCCCGACAGTTTTACAGACTACAGCTCTAACTTCAAATCTGGTTATCAGAGGCTGGGAGAAGCTATTGCCACAGCTAAGGCTGATGAGGTAGCTTTTCATAGGAATTAATGTAAATATTAAAAAGAACAGCACTACTTTTCTCTCACGCTCACACAGCTAATGAGCATTGTAGGAACATCTTAGACGTTTGTTATTGAGAATGATGGCGTTTCTGTTCAGCCATTAGGTGTGGTGTTTATAAAGTGTGAGCTCTGTGGAGGAAATGGGCTCAAAGTAACAACCAGACTGAGGCAAAATAGCGAGTGTAGTTCAATGCCCCTATATTATCTACACAAAGAATAAAAAGTGTGCAGGTCTTTGCATGTTCAGAAATTAAACCATTCAAAACTAAGTGCAATTGTAAGTTTGTGTTTATTTAAAGTGGATCCAACCAGGAGGTGGTCAGACAAATGCTTACATCCTAAACCATCTTATTTAGGCTATACAATTCTGTCCATATGCATCTGAAATCTTTCAGAACCATGACTAAATGTTGGCTGTTGCTGATTGACATTTATTCTATTTAATACTAAAGCTTTTATACTCATTTCATTTGGGATTTATTGTTTTTTCAGCCACACAGATGACTCTATTTTCACCTGTGTCAAGTGTGATTTGGTCTACCATGGGGGCGCAAACCTGATTTTGTCACACAGCTGCTAGTCTCTTTTTCTACATTATTGTCATGCTGCTGTTCCTGCTTGCTTCTTTTTGCCCCCCCTCCCTCCACTTCTCTGCAGAAGTAATGAGAAGTGATGTGTGAGACTGAAGCATTCGTCACTGAGCTGCTGGTGGCTAATATGCTGTCATCAGTGTGAGAACTATCACACACAGAGAGTTAGATATGACCTAAAAGTGCATTATAAATTCAAACCACAGCTTCATTCTGGAGATGTCTATTAATAAAACAGATTAATGCTGAGATGGAATCGGGGCACACATTCTTGTATTACACAGCACTGCACACATCAATAAGGAGAAGAGAAAAAACAGGATCCATTTAATTTTAGGACTGCAAATTGCAAATTCAGAATTTGTAATACTGAACTATGAAGAAGAGAAACCATTTTCATCTGTGTGAACTGAGCTTGGAAATAGCTCCTGTTGGGTCTGAATTTGGGATGCCTCGGTTCATGTTCATTTGAGGTTGGATTGCATTGTGGTGTGTCTCGACCAGTTGCAACACCATATGGTTCGGTCACTGCTGGGCATAGAGCGGTACCCTGCTACCTGCGGCGAGAGCTGATAAAAACAAGAATCTGATGCTCTCTCACCCCATTCAGCAATTCTAACTCACGCCCTGTGTACAGAGTGTCTGTCATCATCAAAGGCCCTCCACTTCCCTCCCATGAACTGTTTGACTTGCTGCCATCAGGCAGGAGGTTCCACAATAACAGAACCACCAGGTTCTGTAGCAGCTTCTCCCCTCAAGCTGTCCCAAACACAGACACTTAATCTTAAGTCATTCTCTCCTGTAAGTTGTTTATCTGGATGTTTTGGTCATAGGAAATAACAGAAGTTGAGAAATGGGTGGTGGGGAGGTAATTGGTAAGACCATCTCTGATGTTCCATTATATATTTTTGCAAGTTTAATGCCAATAACTTTTAAGACCTCTATCTCAAGCTACCAAGGTTTTCAAATATTCTCTGTTTAGAATATGTGTTTTAATGCCCTCAAAATAGTTTTTCTTGTCTATAAGACAGAGGTAAAAAACTGCCCTTCTCTTTCTTTTGAGCCGTTACCACCAACAAGTTTAGAAGTGACAAAGCTTTTTGAGTGGTTAACTAAACTTCAAAAGCAACACTACCTTACAAGTAAAAAGCATGTATTTCCCACATAAACCTTACAAAGAGCCAATTTCTTAATTTCAAATTTCTCCTGCAAAAAACTGAACACTAAAATATAAATAAGCAATTTAGAACTACTGTAGATGCCTGGAAAAAGAAAAGTGTACAAAATTGATACAAGATATCTTGATTTTTGGCAACAAAACTCCAGAAAATAATGTCCTTTCCTGATTGCCCCTTCCATCAGATAAAAAGACCCAAAAGAGGAACAAAAGATATATTTGTACCTGCAAACTTCCTGAATCCACGTTTAAATTCCTCCAACACATCTTGATGCTCTGCTCTGAAGAAAAAAGTGAAAGGGATGTAGGTTACACTGAACAGAAGTTTGGGTTAAAGAGTGTGTGATGGGTATCTGCTTACATGTTGGAAAGCGTGACTTGAGTGACAGAGGGAAGCTTGTTGAGGTAATGCAGCGTGTCCTGGGTGAGATGGGGCACTGAACCAAAGTGTGTGTACAGCAGACATCCCGGGACCTCCAATGAGTGCTGCCCTGTCTTACCGAGCCCCTTCAGTACACCCAAACGACTTCGCCCCTGAACCACATGGGACAGTTCCAGTTTCATCCTGGTACCAGCCATTCCTGTAGCTGCTGTCAAACTTCTTTGGAATAGTTCGCAGAGACTGTTAAACAAAAGTTACAAGCGGACAACGTCCTCCGAGGATGACAATTAGCCACGTAGCTAGCTAGCCTTGCCAATCACGTGCAAGAATATCGGACATATTTTCGAGCTATACGAGCTATATAATGCCGCATTAAAGACGCACTTTTAATAGACAGACGTTTTTGCTTCTGAGCTAGCTTAATTTGATATCTGTTTCCCTCAAAAGCATCTATCTTTCGATGTTTAAATATAAGAAACTCACTGTCTCTGTGAAACTACAAGTCCAGGAATTATGACATCATCAACTGCGACGGTGCTGCTAATACACCGCATTTTCGACGTGTGTTTTTCCCCTCCCCTTTGAAACACCTGAAGTTCAGTACATAGAACAATATTTTTTTTTGTCACAGTTTGTATGAAAATTCACGAATACATATTAAAATGTAACTTTTAAATATCTAAAACATTGTTCTGTTAAGAGTTCATCTCATCCTTTTTGGAGATGTGGCGTTACCATGGTTACCGAATAGACGCCGCTCGAGACAATGGGACACCATTTCCTAAGAGTATTCAGCTTTTTGACATTTGGCTTAAAACAATAGTATTTTACTCCTTTACCTGCTATTCTTTCTTTTTCAATTTGAAGGTTGTCGTTTGCAGGACTTGCGTATTTTACTAGAGTACTTTGTAGATGATTTTTAATTCGTTTTTTAGATTTAATCAGTCGACGTACCGCATGCTGCTAATTGGGATGTTAAGCTACCCAACTGAGATGTAAGATTACATTAAAGTTTTACGCTGCCGTTTAAAATGACATTCTCAGGTCACAATCCTCAACTTTTCAGATGGAAAAGGGTCGGGTCTGCAAACAAGGTAAGTGTAGATTAATGGAAAACTGGCTATGTCTTTCGCGGAAGGATAAGATTTATTTTTTGAGAGAAGAAAATTAATCAAACCAGAACCGCTCGTTACACATAATTAATTAAATGTCCTAGACTTAGCTTTATCTAAATTGGAGTTCTAAAACACCTATTAAATCTGTTTTCACCATACTGACCTTTTTCCCAGATACATTACAGCCTCTGGAAAATCCCAGCATAGGTGTAAAACCTTACTTTTTGCATCTGCAAATGAAGGAGAATCACCTTAATGGTATGCAATGGGAAGTGTAATGTCATGCAGGTCTTTCTCAGTTAATGGCATGCTGTTGCCTGAATGCATCTGCAACCTTGGGCTGATACCCCTAGGACTGGGAAATGGTTCTCAAGTGATCTAAGGATTTAAGGCAATATCTAAATTTTCCCGCCACATAATCCACAGTCATCAGGCCCCTAGATCAATGGCTTTGCTCACTGCTTCTGTAGATAAAGGTCACCAGGCCACCGACAACAATGTTTAAGGCTTTAGCCTGTCTTTTAAACATAGTCAACTTTCTCTTTGAATATTTTTATATTTCAGAAACAGATGCCCATGAGGAATGATGATATCGATCAGTGGAGAAAGGTGAGAAAAGGATTTGCTGGTCAGGGTACATATTTGTACGCCACATTCATTATTGTAAATTCTTTCAGAAAATATTAATTTCTTACTCAGGGTCCTTCGTTGCTCTGCCTTTTTCCTTTATTTCCTTGTCTTTAGCGAGTGGAGATGGCCTCGGAGTTTGCTGTGACTGAAGTCTTCTCACACAAGAGGGCTCATTCAGGGGTCAGCAGCTTAGCTGTACCTCTGCAAAGCTCAGAACAGCTAAGAGATCATGACAGTGCTTACAGTGAAGGTAGTCAATCCATAAAATATACAATATAGTTTTATAACTTGTTGTATAAATCTTTCAAAATTATCTCAACAAATACGACCAATAAATATTTTATATTTCGACACTGAAAAATAGAACGATAAAACTTTAAGAAATAAAACAAAATGCAAGTTATGTCCAACAGGGTTGGACGATGATTGTGTTTTGAGTTATCAATCATGGACTCACACTCTGAGACTGCTAAGAGTTCATCAAAGCAGCCCAAGGGAAGAAGCTTCTAGAAGATGATCAGCAGCTCCTGGGGATCTACAGAGCAGACATATAAAGCTGTTTATGAGAACACGTATTATAGAAATGTCTGAGTACTTTAGAAAATATTTTTGACTTATTTAATTTACAGTTAGACAAGTTATAAACAAATGGAGGACATTCAAGACAAATGTTTTATCCAGTGAAGTTGGCTGCATTATAAAGTGGGCTAATTTGGCTACATCTGTACCACCGCCGACAGAATAATGATGTATATATTATTCCAGCAATTTCTCAAGGAAAAAGTCATTACACATTCTCATGACTGTTTGACAAACTGTCACGCTCATTTGTATGATCTGTGCTGTCTTGCAGCTCAGGCTCTTCTGGGTGATTGGTTGAACAGTAAGTTACGGCTGGAGCTGGAGATGGATGATGAAGATGCCCTAATGTCCTCCACCGAGACGAGACGGCCCACTGCACAAGCTAGTTCTCAGCCAAACGTCTTTAACCACAGCACGTTTGACGGTAGGTTGCTAGGATGCTGTAGGCAGTTTGGTTTGAAGCAGCTAACTGAATACTTTGGGTGTTTTACAGGATGTGAAGTGCATATTTCCATCACAATAAACCATCCTACTTAATCAAAAGTATTTTACAACCGTGGTCAAATTAGCTCAAAGCAGGGACCAACAAGACAGATGGGAGTCAAAGTAGACCCTTAAAGTACGAATGAGTTTGCATAGATATGATCAAAACCAGACAGGCATGTGTCCATCATGTAAAAAGCAAAAAGATACATCTATATGCAACGTGCTAAATCTCTTTCACACTTTTATGTTAAAAAAAACACTCAAAACTTTAGATCTTTATAGCCACCTGGCTGAAGAAGAAGAACATACTGCTGTTAATGGCTTTCTACAAGATCTGATGAAGCATGAGGTGCTTGACTCTGGTATAATGGAGGAACTGGCGCTTGATGATCGAGAATCACGGAAGAGATGCAGAGACCCAGTCGTCACCATGGAAGCACGCCACCAGCAGGTATGTGACCAGCATGCACATCCCATTCTTCAGCTTGCTTTGGCGATGCCAGCAGTGTTTCAGCTCCAACGATTGGCACTCGCTTTGTTTTTTCAATTAACGTTAATTGCTACTGATTTCCACTGGAGGTGCGAGAGAATAGAGCGCGGCGGGAGGCTGACAGACAGAGGCAGCAGAGGGAGAAGGAGGCCCAGCGGGATGCCAGAACAGAGGCGAAGAGAAGGGAGCGAGAGGAGGAGATTAGGAAGAACCAGAAGGAACGGAGGCAGGAGGAGCTGATGCAGCAGGAGATGGTGAGATTGCGACGCCAGATGGAGAGGAGGAGAGGCCTGGAGCAGCCTGTTCGACAGAGGTACGTATTCACAGCAAGTAATCAGTCCCATTCATCTGAGCTCATTCTTAAACTGTATTTGATTGGGTAGTATGTCATTTAATCTGTTCCACCTTCCTCTTGTGGGTCTGATTATTGGTGAGAAACATGTCTGAACTCTTTTTAGGAGGGCTAAAAAAGTTTAGGCTGCTGTATCTGTATATATACCTCTGTATCTGTTTTTGAGCCAGTTGTTATTATTAAACTTTTGTGGAAGCAGTGTGTGGTAAAAGAGAGGCCTTTTTACCACGCAGGAAGTTGGAAGGTGGAGGTACGTATTTGCAAAGTAACTTAAATCATTTAGAAAGTATCTGACAGAACAAACGTACTCTCTACAACACTAAGAAAAAATCATCTTTTGTTTCATTATCTGGCAGCACTATTGATTTTAGGCAGCTGCTCATATTTATCTAAGCATTCTTATTTTTGAGGAACATAGTTGAAGGCAAAGTACAAGCACTCTGGAAAATAACATTGAATGATGGGATCCTCAAAAATCTGAGATATATGAGTCCTAAAGAACTCTGAGATGATCCTTTCATACTTGTGAGATTAATTTTCTTTTGTTTTATTTGTTTTGGTGATTTTTGCATCTTTCACTCCTTACCTATTTTGTTGTTCTGTCCAAACTCTGTTTAAGGAGTTTTTGATGAGGATTCCAAATTTAATTGCATACTGTTGTGATTCCTGAACGTGTCTTTGAACAGTTTTTAAGATGATTGCTAGTTTGAATGTTTTTGAAACCATTACATTTTACACAGCAATCCCTTTGAGACATGTTCCTTGTTTTATAGATTTTTTTCATAGAGATATACAACATCATCAACCTTTTATCATTGTTATTGAAAGTGGTAATTGTGTTGTGGTGATGAATTTTCTTTTTGTGAATGTTTTTACTTTATTATAGAGAAAAAAATAGTTGACATTTACAATAAAGTTTTTCTGTACAGAGAGAGAGAAAACCTTGAAGTGCAAAGGGCAGCTGGAAGCCTCCAATCAACCCCTACACCTCTTACAAAGCAGCCACCGCTGAATGTTGAGCGACTACAACGAGAACACAAGATTCAAACTAAAGTTCAACTGAACAGGCTTCAGGTTGGTGCCCTGTATTTTGTATGAATGAACTTACTGAGAAATTGATGCCTCATAATATATGCTTGCACATGAATTGTCTTGTGGCGTTGCATGCATTCTTCTCTTGGTGTACATGTTTTAGTGTCTGCGGAGGCATTTCTCTGGTTGGCATTCAGCGATGTTGGACCGAAGACTGCACATGAATAAAGCCATCGCGCTTTCTACCTGGAGGAGGCAGCTTAGGGCATGGCGGGCATGGCGAGCAGTGGTGTGGGCTCAGCGGACGCAGCGAGAGGTGGCAAGAGCAGAAGCTGCGCTGCGAATGGAAAAGAGGTATAACACATAAACCTGCAATGTTAAAGAATAATTAACCTGATTCGTAGGTAATGGAGAATGATGAAGAACATGATCCCATCTGTCACCTCCTCCAGGCAACACCAGCTGGCTGTTAAAAGTGACCAAAGGCGGTTGTTACAGCGATGTCTGAATGAGTGGCAGCTTTGGTGTCGATTGGAAAAGGAAAAACGGGAACTTCTGGCCCGGCAGCAGGAGACCAAATGCAAAATGGCTGCGTTACTTAATGCCGCATCTACAGGCAAGCTCACAGCCACAGAAACTCCTGCTGATCAGTCTAAAAGGGTCCCACCAGAGCCTCCGAACCAATCTGAGACCATGGTGAAGGTGAGAGGACCTTGCATGTATTCTCAGTTGCTAAGCAGTTACTTCATAAATACTTCCCACTAAAACAATCTGATGATTCACATTTTAAAAAATGACCCATGGATTACTAGCATGACTAAAACATCAGGCCTGACCTCTACAGGCCGTGCCGAAGGCTCATTACTGAGGCTGTAACGACGTGTGGGAAATAAACTGAATAAAAAATACTCTCCTCTGACTTTATTCTTGTCATACTGGAACTTTTCTCAACTTGTCAGCTAAAATGAGAAAGGTTTTCTACTGGAATATTTACAAGACGAGAAAAAGTATGTGAAAGACAAGGATCAGAGCATAGACCATATGTTTTTTTTTTATTGTATTGAAAATTAGACAGCCAAGTTCCCTGGAGCTTTAACATTTGCCATTGGCCTGTTCTTATTCTCCACACCTCCTGGCTCCAGTGGGGTACCCGGAACCCAAAAGAGACATAATAAGGGCTCTAATGATAGGAGAAACAGGTTGGGTCATAAAAGAGGCTCTGCTGCATATCCGTCAGAATTACTAGAGCATGAACACACTAATTCAAATGCCCAGAGGTTCCTAGAACAAGTGCCATGCTCCTTTTACATCCTTTTACATTCATTCAGGTAAATTAGTTAGATTTTTCCATTTAAAATCCCATTGTATCTGCTCTTTTATTTGCTCTTTAGAGGGTTAGCCACAGGTTACGCACTATAGCCCCTGGCAACTCCACAGTGAAACCGGCCAAGACTTCTGTGAGAACTGTGCCCCGGCCTTTCGAACCATGGAAGGTGACCCGGCGCCTGACAGTACCCTCGGCTGCAGAACTCTGTGAGGCTCGGCAGAGAGTTGAGGCGGAGGACAGGCCAACCATTCAGCAGCAGATCATTGCACAACAAAGAAGGCTGCTGCAGGAGCAGCAGGAGCAAATTGCCCGGCTGAAAGAAAAGCAAAACTTGATGGATTTGCAGCCTGAAATGGAGAAACCTGCACAGCTTTCTGAGGTACCAGTAACAGGAGGAACCAGGACAAAGAGCCACAGCCTTAACACCATGGAGCAGAGGTAAGATTACGGTTACTGATAAAAAAGATAAATGTAAGTTTCTGGAATAATCTACAAAGTAGTTGGGATAAATAAACACGAGGAACCCCATATCAACGATTTAAAATTAGTCATTATTGGTATTGTCTACAAAGTCATTATTGGTATTGTCTACAAACGCTATATTAGAGAACTGGGAGCCAAAGAGGAAGGTTTGGGGATCATACTTCTCTCTGGCCCTTCTCACACTGTTAATTCCCCAAGTGTGCAGACATAAAGCATTCCCATGTAAAAGGGTAACAAAACGTCAGGTCTGCGACTTTAAACATTACAACATGTTACAAGTAATTTTGACTTTTAACATGTCATCACACAATAGTCCTTTGAACCAAACGCTGCAGAAGTACATACCATCTGGATACACAGACGTTACGCAGCAGTTTCCAGCAAAGTCAGAGGTTAGATGATCCATCAAATGTAAATGCTCGGGAAGGACGAACCACAGCAAGCGAGATTAATCACAACCGGACGGCCAAATGTTTGTCCAGAAATCCATCTTTTTCCCCCTGTAAAACTGTTAACTTTTACAAACTACAAGGACATAATGATGGAACTGGGTGACATTCAGGGGAGATACAACAGGTTAATAGGCTAATTAAATCAAGCGTGTGTTTGTTTGTTTAAATAGGCTAACTTTGTAATACCCCATTTGCTTAAAGGCCGATTAAACTCAGTTGTGTCAAATAAACCCCTACCTCAGTAGTTCAGTCATTTTATTGTTTACATATGGAAAGATGACGTTATGGAAGCAAAATAACTCAGACAAAACAACTATTTAGCCTGTATTTTTTCCCTTTAAGAAGAAACGGAATGAGATCAGAGTGTTGTGTTCAGGATTCAGCTAAACCCCCTGCTGAAAAGAGATAAAGAGCCCAGTGGCTCTGAGGAAAAATATTTAAGTCTGTCCCTTGAGCAATTCCCCGGCAGAAACCTGCCAGTATGCATTCCCCTCTGCAACATTATGCCAGTTCATGATTGAAGCTCTAAAGACGGATGTTTAACCTTCTAGAAATAAGGGCTAATTGTTTTATTCTTTTATTCTAACCCAAGGCTAAATGCTTGGTAAACTTTGTGAGTGGACATCTCAAGTATATTTCTAAACTAAACAAGGGTGAAAGAGATAGCATCTCACATTTACATGTTCAGACACATTGTTTTCAGTAGCTGCAGAAGATGACCTGGAACTGCAGCTTTCCCTGTGAAATACATTAAGATAAGAAACACATCACTAATGGAAATATTATAAAGGAAAAAGAAAAGTTGATGTCAATTTGTTTGCCTTGGCAGCTTTTATTTAGATAAGATTTGTCTGGAAAGGGTAAAGATGGTACAAGCTCACAGAGTTTTGTTTGTTTCTGTGCTTCTGGCTGTAATCATAACTGCTGCAGAGCACAGGGATTTGCTGAAGAACCTGGCAGTCAGGGCGCACCTTTGAAGAAAGCTACCCAACAGCAGACAAGCCTCCATCCCATCATAAAGGGTGAGTCTGAAAGTTCCCTTAGTCTGCCAGCTAAGCAGCATATATGAACACAAACTCACAAACGCTGAGTGGAAGCGAACACATTTCTTTTTCAGACATGTAGTTCCTCTGCACGACAGTTGGGAACTGTGGATGTAATAATTTGTTATTCAAACCCCTAAATTTAAACTAAATTTAGCAGGATTGAGGTCATGGATCTTTAACCCAAGACCTTTGCCTCCAACGTAGTTTTTCTGGGTAAAACATTTTCCTCTTATATTTCCTTCTTAAATGCATTAGTAATCTCCTGATTTCAACATACATTAAATGCTTCTGGTAGCAGAGGCAGCAAAGCGGCCCTGCAGCACAAATGAGCCTCTGCAGTCACTGTATTGATATCATGTTTTACCTAATCCAAGAGACACGTTCAAACTACATTTCCCCCAAACATCCTAACGTAACATCAAAGAAGCCTCTGATTGATGGAATAAACTCCCACTATCCTCAACCGTCTAGTTTTCCTATATCAAGATGATGTATCTTTTTTAAATCACTCTTGCTATCCACCCCTGGGCGGCTTCTCCTGTCCAAATCCATGTTGATGCAAACAAAATGACAGACTTTAGGCTACAAACTTTTCTCACTACTTCCTCCCGTGTTGGCGTCTATATATCTGACACTCCACAAAAAATGAACTTCTGCCTGACTTGATATCGAACAGACCAACAATTAACATTCTTCTCCTTTAGTATGTAGGCTCTATAGATAAATCAACTCAAATTCTGAGCAGCTTCACATATGACATTATTAATATTGCCCACCATAGACTGGTGGAAAGAAAACAACCTGCTTCATTCAAAACCTAGTCTGCCTTCTCCTGCCTCTGTCTGCACAACCTTGTGATAAGGCAACTGTCAATTTTCTTAGCAGAGGAGAAGAATGATCAGCCTGGGGCATCCGTTCTGTGGAGGCTCTCTTATGACCTTCAACCACCACAAACAAACAACTCAGCATGGCATCAGTACATACAGGTGTAAAAAAAAGTCATAAAAAGAAACTAACAAAACCAACTATTTAACCATTACTGTCACATATCCACACATTGTGCTTTCATATTTGCAGCAAAACATTACTTCAGTCATCAATTGAAAATCATGTTTATAGATATTATCACCAATTTTATTTATTCATAAAGACAGAATGTTCAGAACAAAGCTCTTCACAGATTTCAATTCCCTTCTCTTAAAATATGCCACGTCGGGCTTCACACAGGATTCATTATTAATGCGTGAGTGTAACAGACAACCATTCCCCTGAATCTGGTCTCAGCGTGACTGATTTCTCCCTTTTTAATAACATTATTTGTACCTCAGACTTTTAAAATTTTCAATCAGTTGATATCTTTTTTTTTTTTTTTTTCTTTGGTTAATTTAATACTTGCTATGTGCTCAGAATGTAAAGTGCGAGTTGATGCCAAACCTGAAGAAGCCCGTGTGTGTGTGTCTGTTTCTCTTAAGCCATGGAGGCCCGAGCAAAACAGCGCGCAGAACGAAGGAAGGAGATCGAGGAACTCAAGAGAAAAAAGGAAAATATAAAGCTGGTGAGATTGAAAAATCACTCCAATATAATGCTATTTTTGGACCTCTAGACATTAACCACATTTTAAAGTATTAAACACACGTTCCAAATGGAAAATTGTCAGGCTGAAATGAAAGCCGCAGAGGAGCAAAGGCAGAGGGAAGAAGAAGAGGAGAAATGCAAGGCTGCTGAGAAGCGAAGGGAGGAGAAGAGGCTGGAAAGAGAGGTGAGATGTTCTCCACGATTTAGTAACGTTCTCTGAAAAGCTGAGTTAACTCAAGCTGAGTTACACGCACAGCCTCTCATCTGCCACAGACAATTAAGATGATGGTCAATTTGTGTCTGAGCAGAGGGAGGAGGAAAAACAAAGGCAGCTGAGAAGGCAACAGGAGCTCATGAGATTGGCCCGTCAGCACTATCGCAGAACCTTACTGCTACGACAAGGCCTGGCCCCATGGAAACGACTGATTCAGCTCAGACAAACCAACATGGAGGTAAATCACCCGTCCTGTCCAGAGCAGCTGTTGGTGTAAAGTCACCAACATATCAAAGCTATCAGCGGTGTCTTATATTTGTGAAGAGAGCAGGAACGGATCAGGTCAGCCTGTCCATTACTGAAGAATTACAAAATAATCAAAGTTATAAATGTAGGTGTAAAGTCCATGTGCACGCCAGCGATTTAAATGCTAAAAGTCCTCTTTGGCTGTAGGCATCAGTAACACAAACACATTATGTTGCAACAGCATGAATTGTTCAAATGACTGAAATGTATCCCCTAATCAAGGTAAATAACTAAGCATGCCGTATGAGTTTTTACATATTCTGCTATGACGCATACACACAGGTTTAGTCATTAAACCACAGTTGTATGCATCTAACCATTCTTTTATGCCATTCATTTGCTGTAAAACAGCTGAAAATCAGAGATTCTTTTTCATTGGGATTATAACAGCCTCTCAAAAGTTCAAATCATAAGGTTTAATTTATCCCATTTGAAACTCTTACCTTCAACTGATAAAAGTTAGGTAAAGATTTTTCTAGAAATCCCTTATTCTTATAATTTATTCTGCATTGAATATACTCTTTGCTGGTTATATATATTTTAACCATTGATCCATTAGCAGTATATTTCCATAACAGTGTGGCCCTTTGGGTTTTAGAAATTCCTTTATGAAGTTTTTACGCCCTCTAAAAAAAACATTTTTAAAGCACGCACTTTTCTTTCACAGGCGGCCCATTCTATCTTCCCCAGAGAGGGCTCATAGTTTAAATGTGTTGAGTAAAATTAAACAAAGAATAAAGCTAAGAAACACACATATGCCCACCGATCAACAATATCCCTGATATTGAACTTGAACATAAAGCACATTTTAAAGGAAAAACTCAGATAAAGCACCAGGCACAATCCCCGCACCTAATTCCCTTTTCACTTATCATCATTTCATCTTAAGATGCTTTTGTGCAGCCCCACTAAATGTTTCACAGCACAAGATAAAAACAGGTTCTTTGTCACTCGACCAACATGTGAAATCCAAAGTGAGGATAATAAAAAGTGTGACCAAAAGGGGACAGACTTATTCCAACACAAAGGCTAGAATTTTCTGTTCACTTGAGGGACCATCACTGGCACACAGACAATGAGAGCTATGCAGCCTCTGTATTGGACTACATATTCATCACATGCTGCACCACCTCCATCCAGAGTTCTCAACCCCCTCTAAGTTATTCATTAAACTAACAGGTCTGGGCATCCTTCCCTCCATTTTTAAGGGGTTATAACGGGGTTTAATTTGCATCCTCATCCTGAACATCAGCATACCACAAGACTGTGTGACCACTCCATTCCCAACTTCCTCCTCACTTATTAATGACCTGTACATAGTTCATATATCATCATCAAGTTTGTGGACGACATTCAGTAATGAGTAACAGTCATTGCTTATTTTTCATACATTGGAAAACTGTACATATGAAGCACCAACTTTTCTGTCTATTGAAGCACTGCACATTCTGTTTGTATTTTAATGGTTTATTCTGTATATTTTCCCATTCATAATTACATTATTATTAACATACTATACAACGTACTGTATAATTATATCAAACCCAATATGTCATACTTTGTGCCTTTCACAAATGAATGGGCTTTTGTATTTTGTTTGTTTATTTTTCTCCTCCGTTTCCCTCCAGCTGGCTGAGAATCATCACAATCTCTTCCTCCTGAGACGGTGCGTACTGAGATGGCAGCAGTCAGCAAGAGAGTCCCTTTATGGGAAAGAGGCTTTAGCTGACCAACTATACCAGCACATTTTGCTCCGGAGAAGCTTAAACTGCTGGAAGCGTGTATGTATTAGCCTGCGCACACACATACATACACAAAAAAAAAAACATGAAAAAAAGCCTACACAATTCAACAGAAACTGCTTGGCACAGCCTTTGTCAAATGGACCCCCTCTGTATGCCCTCAGTCGTGTTATCAGTGGCCCAATCTGGAAAAATAATGTTTAGGCCATTTGAACAGACAGACTAACTGAATGTATTGTTAAAAGTATGGTTGGATGCTGTTTTTCAATCTTTTGTTTATTTATTTATTATTTATTTACTAAAGGCACATCTTACCAATGGCCCATTTTCCCTGCATCCTTATCTGATGGTAACTGCACTGTTTCAGCTCAGAGACATGTGGATGATTCAGGAGGAGCGAGCTGAACGTTTTTATCGCAAACGCACTCTGAGGAAGTTTCTGCTCGCCTTGCTGCACCATGTGACCCAAGAGAGGCTGGTGGATTGGGAGCGTCAGGGGCTGGCTGTGGAGCATAATAACAGGTCTGCTACCGCTGACTTTCCCATATGGTCACTGTATGGCTGAATGAATATTGAAGTAATAAGACCCAGAGACAGCTGTTCTATTGAATTTGACAGTTTAATGAAACATTAGCTAAATTTTTGCCATTTCAACAATGTCTTGAATTCATTTAAGACAATTTATAACTTTATTTTAGGGCTTTAAACGACTTTTCTATGAAAAGTTAACTTCTTCCCAAGACCAACAGCACAAAATGGTCCATTCTTTTCCATTCCCATCACAGCAGCCTGTGCCTTCTTTGGATGGAGCACTGGTAAAGTTCTAATATCGTCTACCAAGTGGAAGAAAGATGACAAAATCTGGGTGTCATCGACTTTTCTCATGAAATTTCAGTCAGAATATCATGGGGTTATTAGTAAGATTCTCTCATACTAACCAACCATTTTTCCCCCAAAAAACATTCTTTGACTCTAGATAAATATTAGGGTTCAAAGACACATTTGTCTCAAATGTGCATCTCCAAAATTGCCAGGTAAAAATGGCATCAAATGTAGTTGTAATATGTTAGAGGTACCTAATGCTTCCATTTTGACTTCTGTATCACTTCCCTGTCAATGCCACAAAATGTTATTAGACCTCAGGTCTGTGAGATGACCACAGGCTACAGGTGAATTCCCGCTGGCGTTTCAGCTGCCACTGTCAACAAGATCCAAATAACACATGAAAACTAATAAGGTGTTGTCAAGCTGGAGATCCCTATAATCCTGCCTGTTATTGCTCAGTTGCTTTGTTCCCATCTGTCCTTCCATCTGTTGCTTTTCAGACGGGTGGTACAAAGATGTTTCCTGGCCTGGAGGCAGCTTCCATGTGTGCTGCGCAGGGAGAGGGAGAGGGACGGGCGGCGGGAGAAGCTGAGCCGGAAAGTGGCAGAGGTTCTGCCTGACTTCTGCTCCCATGTACTGTAAAGAAAACAGTCAGCAAAGGCAACAAACTTCAAATCCAGACATGCAACAACAAATATCTCAATATCCCTCACAGAAGAAATGAAAAGTTTAATTCAACAAAAATAATTTAGAATCAGTTCATACAAAACACAGAAGGACATAGCTGGACCGATATTCCTATTTGAGGAAAATGGTTAATCCTGGTCATGGCAAAGATGTGGTGACAGTGGAAGCAGATTTTTTAAGTTCATATCACATGTTTCATGTGAAGTCTGTTTTACAGACTTCAATTAAATCATCTTTGAATCTGTTAAAGAGATGGATTCTGTCCATACTTTAATAAGCTGTATGCTGAAATGTTTAATTGTTCTGTGATAAAAATCTGACGCAGTTCACAAAGTTAATGAAGGCCAGATGCTGTCCCTGTTTGAGTAAGACAAAGTAGATAAGGTAGCAAACTATAGCATCTCCTCAGGTCTGTATCCAAATAGTATCTTATTCTTATTTTTTGACAATGGGCTTCAAATCAAATGTTCCTTCAAGGACTAACCAGACAGCACTTTGGTTTCACTCATGGTCTTCTTTTTTCCATCTTCCACCAAGGCACAAACAAGTTGCAACGGCATGAATTTAGTGTTCATGTTCAAGGAGGCCATTCGGGCCAAAGGAAAGGCTAATGTTTGGATATGACTGGTGAGAAGGAGGCAGCAGTGTTGGCGTATCAATTTAAGTGGTGGGTGGATCCAGCTGCTTGGATGAGATGCCAGCTGTCAGTCACATTAATGGCAGTGAATCTTTGTTATTCTGGTCTGAAGTTCATACTGCAAACGAGTCAAAGTTGGTGCAACTGTGGGGCTGCAGTTGCTCCTTAAAGCTGTGCTGATAGGACTCCAGTCTGGAAGCAGTTTTGCCTCCAGAATCCCAAGTGATTTGGAATGTGAGCCAAACGACCATGCTGCCATCCAGTGGACAGAAGTGGAACAGCAGCCATGTCTGCAGCACACTCACACCAGGTCTGTGGGAGAGGGGGGGGTCAGTTTTTCCCCCATGGCCACAAACTCAGACCAGTTGCCCCGAAAGCCTTGAGAGTAAACTCCAGTGTCCACAACAAGTCCCCAGCAGGCGCTGCGAGCAGTTTTCTCTCTCAGGGCTGCTCGTGCCTCGCGCTCCGTCACATTGTAGCTGATGTTGACGATTTGGACGATGAGAAGGTGGAGCAGCCCGATGGTCACGATACTGCTGTACCACGCACAGGTGAAGCACAGAGCAGAGCTGGAGATCACAGGAGAAAGGCGCTCCACATTAACACGGGGCAGATGATTGCTCTACACGACACAGGTCCCTTTAAACACCACATACCATTTTCAGAAGAAAAAAAACTAACGCCAAAAACATCCTATGACTGATAATGTAACACGAACAGTTATTCATCAAACAGTCATTCATCCCTCCAAATGTTGTTAAAGCAAAAGCCATGACCATTTCAGGTAGCTTATCAAGCATATCTCACACAAAAATTGTAATGCCAATATGTTTTGCCCATTTCTTTTCCACCTTTAGGTAATTGCAATGAATGGAACTCCTTAAAATTTACACCAAATCTAAATTAGATACTGTAGCTCACCACAGAGATGATAGCTAGGGGGGAATGTAGCTTAATGCCTTCTGCAGATAACAAACTGTCCTTTTTAATCATACTTTAACTGTGCAAAAAACAAAGTGTAAATTAAGTGTACTTTAAAAGGTTTGTGGCTTTGAAAAAAAAAAAAAATTGAAATGTGGACTAACTTTGCCAACATCTCTTTCTTTTTGGCATATTGATGACACGGGGTTAACATATTCTCCATCCATCCATCCATTCTCCTCCGCTTATCCGGGGTCGGGTCGCGGGGGCAGCAGCCGGAGCAGGGAAATCCAGACTTCCCTCTCCCCGGCCACTTCGGCCAGCTCCTCCGGGGGGATCCCGAGGCGTTCCCAGGCCAGCCGGGACACATAGTCCCTCCAGCGGGTCCTGGGTCTTCCTCTGGGCCTTCTCCCGGTGGGACGAGCCCGGAACACCTCCCCAGGGAGGCGACCAGGAGGCATCCTGATCAGATGCCCGAGCCACCTCAACTGGCTCCTCTCCACGTGGAGGAGCAGCGGCTCTACTCCGAGCCCCTCCCGGATGGCCGAGCTTCTCACCCTATCTCTAAGGGAGAGCCCAGCCACCCTGCGGAGGAAACTCATTTCGGCCGCTTGTATCCGCGATCTCGTTCTTTCGGTCACTACCCAAAGCTCGTGACCATAGACGAGGGTGGGAACGTAGATCGACCGATAAATTGAGAGCTTCGCCTTTAGGCTGATGACCTCTCTCTCTTAACATATTCTCTATAACTCATTGAAGTAAGAGGGTAGCAGAAGTAAAAAAAAATTTTGAAAAAGGTACTAGGTACCTGTACTGGTCGTAGACTCCTGGGCAGTAGAGTAAGGCAGTGAGGACGTATTGCTGCGGACACACACTCTGCAAGACGAGGCTGATCCCGTACAGGGACGTCATCAGGAAGAAGAGCAGCGTGAGCAGGAAGCTGCGGTGATTGGCCTGCCCCACGCAGCTGTTTATCCTAGCCCAGCACAAGCAGGCCACGCATAGAGACAACAGCACCAACATTTACGCTTTTAACATTTTTTTCAATATAAAAAATAATAGCAACTGAAAAATTTTACTGTTGGTGGGTGAGACAAAGAGAAAGAAGCGGCCCGTTTGATGAACCCACCAGACGCAGTGGTGGTCCAGACGCAGCACGCAGACGCCGCATATCCGGCAGTGTCCTGCCCTGGGAGGACGCGCCACCCTGCAGGTGGGGCACCAGTTCTTCCGCTCCCTCCCGTCCTGCTCCACCGGACCCGCCCCATCTTTTGCCCGGCTGGCCACCGTCATGGTCACATTCTGACTCTCCCTGCTGAAGGAGGGGTCTCTGTCGGCCATGGGGCCGTAATACGTCACCGTGCTGTGGACGGCCTCTTTGTTGGGCCGAACGACGCCGGGATCTCTCTTGGTGAGGACGAGCGCCGCCAGGGTGAGCAGGACGCCTGCAGTTACGGCCGCCAGCTCCAGCAGACCCACCTCTCCGCGGGGCAGCACCTCCGTGACGAACAGGTAGTACATGTAAGCCAGGGAGAAGAGGGCCAGGCTGAGGAAGAAGAGCGTCCGTCCTTTCTTGCGGTGGGTGACGTAGTAGTACCACAGCACCAAACCAGGAAGAGCCGTCAGCACCACAACGCCCAGCAGGAAATGGAGCGCGGCCAGGTGCAGCAGGGCAGGGAGAAGAATAAGAGGGGGGGTGATGGACAGGTCCACCTTTTGGGCTCCGCCCCACAGCCAGGGCAGACGGACCCGGTCTGAGACCACGGCGGCGACTTGTGACAGGGATTCAGGTTTCTGAGGCTCCCTCTTCAGAAACCTGAGCAAGCAGAGAGAATCGCTTAGACATTTAACACATACACACTTTCTGTCACATTTCATCATGTCACCTCAGTCATAACACAACTGGAATTACTGAGTATAACTCAGTATTGTCTATACCGCTCTGCCCTCATGAGTGTTATTAACAGCAGTTGTGCTTAAGCGCAAACAAGTAAAAGTCTTTGAAAAGAAATAAAATTTAAAAAACCAACATCATAGAATGATAACACTATGATTTTATATGGGTCCGATGACTTCAAATGCTGGGAATATAGTTCAGTTTTTACATTGTAACAGAGCTATCCAACACATCAAAACCGGATAACAAAAAAAAAACCTGCTTGAATTTGCAATGGATCAAAAAGAGTGAGCTCTGGATCAACGGGGGAAAAAAAGTTGATCGTGTCAGAGAAGTCCACAGCGATCAGAGTAAGAAAAGCAGGTCATCTGTGGTCTCAACTGCTCGAGCCTGAGGGGGCAGTGTTATAATCCAGAGGAAAAGGCTGGTTCAGGGAGGATCAGACAGTATTGTCCCACATGGATCCAGACCTTAAACCCCTTTGCTGCGAGAAGACTTTACACAGCAAACCATTTAATCCAATCCAACTCATTTCAGTTGTATTTTTTTATCCCCAGTCAAAATAAGTCATTCCAAGGTGCTTCAGAGATGCAGTTCATGCAGGCTAATTATAATCCAATCAAAATCCACCCATCCATTTAATGTACAATTTATCCCTCATGGGGGATGGGCAGTCCATCACAGGGCCAATAAAATGTTATTCATTCAATTCCAAAATAGCCCATTGCATCTCAGAACCTACAGATCAACAGCCTGAAAATCCTACTGACCAGCAGATCTCGCTCCTCTTACCTGTCACAGGCATCGTCCAGGTCCTCACAGTCGCAGCAGCAGGCTGTGAGGTGGCTGCGCTCTCCGTGGCGGTTCACGTACTCGCAGCAGCACAGGCCTTCCTCCTCATCCTCCCTCAGAACTTTGCTGGCTCGCTTCTTCATGACGTAGAGCACCGCGACCTGTCACACATGTATGTATTAAATGAATTAAAAACTTGGGCGAGTGTCAGATTTACGGATGAAAATTACATTTGGGGCAGATTAGCCACAGGGGGTCAAACACAAAAAGTGGAAACTCTCCTGTTAGCCCACTTTGCTGAAACAACCTTTGCACGCAGCAGATAATCACCCATTTGCATGTGTTTTAGGGAATGGAGCGGTTCCAAGCTGAATTTTACCGCACAACGCTGTAAAGCAGATCCTGCTCATTTGACCCAACCCCATCTGAATGCTGCCCACACATCTGCCACACAGCTGTCATGCTTTGATGATTTACAGCATGGGGCCCTCCCACCGCCACGGCTCGCTGGCTCATTTTTTGTGCAGACGGGTTTGGGCGGAGGTGTCGTCGGCAGTCACAACAGCCACCTCGATGTCACGCCAGCGACCTCCGAATGGAGCACTTTTTAATCCTTCGGCCGGGTCTGGTGAGCTGCCCGGCACATCGGGTCACTAACATGTTAGGAAGGATGTCAAGGTTAACAGAGTTCAGCAGCATCTGAGCTGTGAGAATTTACAGGCTGAATAGTCTGTAACATAAGGCAAATCAGGTTACAGCACTGATTAATGAGTGTGTGATGGCACCAGATGGCAACATCTGCTCTCTGATGGAGAAAAAAGGGAAAAATAAGCTCTGCAGCCATTATTTATACTGCTACTGTGGTGCTCAGCAGTTTCTGTCACATGTGTGCAGAACCTCGAATGGTACAAGATATTTTCATAAAAGGAAAATGCCTTACCAGCAAGTCGGCTGCAGTTCTTTGAGTTTTTTCACAGGTTGGACAAAGATCACAGCCTGCAATATGGCTCTAAACCTCTGAAAATTCACCAGCTTTTCAGTTATTTGGGCAACAGGCAAAAAGCTGCTTTCCCCTCGCACAGGTAGACTTTAATTAGTTGCTTCCCAAATATTATGCAAACGAGGATACAATCATAGGAGTTTTAGAAAGCTATTTCTGTGAATCAATTCTCCAACAAACTTTGTTGGAAACTAAGACTATGACCGTCTCTGAGAGGCGTTCACGGGCACTGAGGTGTCGGTGGAACTCGCCTCCTCCTGTGAGCCTGAGGCGGGCAGGTCGACCCGCGCTGCCCCGGGTTCCTTCACCGGCCAAAGCAGCCTTCACATACCTGAACGCTAGGCTTCTACATCCTGATGTTTCCATGACAGCCAAACGTCGGCCGAGAGGCTGCCCCCTTTCGCGGGCTGCCCGACGGAAGTCCAGCTCCGGGCAGCGGCGGCCGTATCCGGTGTCGCTACCCGCTACGCGACGGCCGAGGAGCCGCTAAAGTCGTCTCTGAATGGCGGTTACAGCTGGAGCTGACGGTCGGGGTCCTGTGTGAGTCCACTGGGAGCTCCGTTTGCAGGCTCCGGTTGGATTTGGAGCTTAGTTCCGCGGTTCTGCCGCCGTTCTGAACCGAACGGTTTCACGTTTGACGTCAAACAGGAAGAGTCTCCCCGCCCAGGTGGGGCGTCCTCCCACAGGCTCACGCGCTGCTCTCCTGTAGGCTGATGGAGGGAAACAAACGGGGTTCTACTTTTAGGGTTTGAAGAGCATTAAGTCATATGGTCGAATAGGCTCTTTGTGGAAAGTGCACATACATTGCAGAATAACACAAATGGCATTGAAATAATCTTCAGGTTGGACAATTAAGGGTCTACTGTCTGTTGCCCTGTTCAATTGGTGTTAGGAACTCCTGAAATGTGGTTAAATATACATCATTTGACTACTTGAACAGTTGTGTCCACACTTGTTTTAAATTGTGCTGAATCTAATTAGGTCATGTTTTATAACGTTACAGGAAAAATTGGATACTGTTGGTCTCTTTGAACTGGTTCTCAGAGAAGCTTTGAGGACAATATAATATTTCCTGCAGGGCTGAACAGAGGAGGCACTGGTCAATAATTAAAGACACTCAGGTGTGTCGGGTTTCACATGTGACAAAGGAGAGGAAATGCATTTGGCTTTTGCCTAACTAAATCTTTTTCCAGTAGCAGAGAGCTGTCTGAACGGCCTAAACTAAATGAATTGTTGCCTAAATGGCATCACGTTCGACTTACAAGCTGCTCAATCTATAAATAAAGGCACTGTGTATGATTTAAATGAGTTTCCAGTTCTTATAAAGGGATAAATCAAGAGAAAGAAATATTAAGAAAACAGAGCATTAAAAACATTTTAAGATATCAAGTGAGAAAAAGTTTATTAAAAATGCTTCAGATCAAGGCCATCAAAAAACAAAAAGGGGGTCAAATTATGTTTGTACAGGATGAAAGATGTGCATAGTCTAACATCATGCATTGCAGCTCTGTGTAAACATGAAACCAGACCCTTCATGGGTGTGCATTACGAAGAAAAAAAAGAAAAAAAGACTTAAGTCCGGTTAAACTTGAAAATCAAATGAAACCAGCATCTAGTGTTGACTTTACAGTACAAGGACAGTTCCCAGCCACCCTTCACCTCCGACAAACGTTAAAGTACCCTAAATTTTACACCACTGATGTGAATCAGACATGTCACAGCTGAGCAAAATGTTAGCACAGAAATAGAAATCAAACAAGGTTTCTGACAAAGACACCTTTAGCAGCATTTGTGTCCCGAAGTTTGTGTAAAAATCATAAAATAGTGATGAAGCATATTTTCCCAGTTTGAATCTGTTTGAGCAGTTTTTATTGGCATAAAAAAAACAGTCTCATTTGAAAGACTTGTGCAATAATTAAAATAATAATAAAAAATATTACTTTAAATATTTTTAGCTTCCAAACTTGAGTATTTACAGTTCTTTATTGTATGTCGCACAATGCATTAAAATGTTTTTATGAGAAGATATGTCACCAACAGCGTTTTAAAAACTGTTGCTCCACCTGCACCTGACGTACTCATTCTCCCAGGAGTCAGTACACAGCTTGAAAAACATCCTGATGTGCACCTGATGTGTGTCCGTGGCTACATATGGCACGTTTGGGAATGCCTGCGTGGCAACATCCTGTGGATACCCGGGAATTCCTCAGAGGAGTTGTCCCTCCACGGGGCCGGGGAGAGGCCCACACAGGCCTCTCAGTGGACACATCAGTGTGGTACTGCTGTTCGATTGGCTGAAGCAAAGTTCTGCTGGAGCACCACCAGAGAGCTGCGAAGCTGCAGAGAAACAACAAACGATCACACCGCTGAAGCACCGGCTCCACGATTTTCAAATGATGCAAACACGCATTTATGTCCAGCTTCTGTTAATCAAATGCCGTTTGCAAACCGATTACTGAAAGCATATTTGTGAAATTTAATATTTCATGACGACATCAGCTGCAGTGTAATCCGGGCCTAAACCGAGAACAGACAGAGCAAACATCCTACCTGCTCTAAAAGGTTAATGGAGTCCTGCAGAACAGCTTTCAACAGGTGCATGTCCTCATTTGTCCCGAACGCTGGTGCCCGCTTGGGACCATATTCACTTGCTAAGCTGTCAGAGGACAGAGGAAAATTCTTCATATGTACACCGTAAGAGGGATACGTTGGGATGCGTCATGAATGCAGCACAACAAACACCAGAGTAAACCAAAGCAGACGCAGACACCTCACTGCATCACAGACAGATCTACACAGAGTTACAGCATGAGCTCTCTGATAATCCAAACCCCTCCCCATCCAACACTAAGACCTCGGCTTCTGAAATTATTCCATCAGCTCCTGAATATCCTGTGAACAATTCCAGGCGACAAAAAACAGCAGCCAACACCCACCTTGCCTCGCTCCTCTCCCTCAGCCGGTGCTTTGTGGTCAGGTACATGCGGTGAGCCACATCCTCCATGGCCCACAGTTTAAAAAACAATCCCAAATTCAGAACCGTCAGGATCAGCAAACTGAAAGAAAGAAAGAAAGAAGTTTAACCTGACGGCTGAAGTGCAAAATTCAAACATTTACCACCTATATGTGGAGGGAACTTACATCACACTCATGCCAGCTATTATCGTCGTGGTGCTCCATCCGTTGGAGCCCGTCATATCAGCGGGGCCTGGAACCCAGTAGAGGATATAAATAAATTATAGATTTTTTAAAACATGCAGAATAATCAAAAAAAAAATAAAAAAAAAAAAAAAATAGGACTGTAACTGATATGTGTGAGCCCTGCAATGTGTGCCGTTAACATTCAATCCCTTTTAGGGGCGGCTTTGTGCAATGGCCATTGTTGTAATTTTCTGAGTTTGTCATAGCCAAAAATAAATAAATCAGTTCTTTTCCATTCTTAAAAACAGATGCATAAATTATGCGTTTTAAATTCTAAAAAATGTTCCAAATACAGCAAAAGTCATGATAGTGATGCATCAAACCGATCAAAGCTAGCAGTACCCGTGTGGCCTTCTCCATGTTTAGCAGGATCCGGGCCGTACTGGATGCTGGGCTTATCCGACACCGTGCGGCTGTACGTTCGCCGCCTCCTCCGCAGCCCAGCCATCTTCCCCAGCTCTCCTCCAGCCTGGTTGAGCTCGGCCTCCTCCTCCAGCAATTCTGATTCTGTGTTTGCACAAAAACATATCAAATAGCTCAATACTGGGTTAAAATACCAAAATTATTGACAAGACACAATAAAAAGGATCACATAAAAGCAGTAGATGGGGCCAGAGGTGCTTCTCCTAGTAAAAAATACAAACAAACAAAAAGTTTCTCCAGGTTCTGGTCAGCTGGGAAAGAGTCCCTTGTTTTACTTGGAAAATAAGACGGACCAACACAAGCAGGATGGAGAAGCAAGCCGGTGCGTTTTCCTCTGGTTGTGGAAATGGCAGAACGGCTGTTCCGTTAACAAAAGTCATACTAAGAGTCCCACTTCTGCAAGCGTTGATGTAATATGTCCAGGGACCACAAAAGCTCCGGTGTTTGTGTGGAAACAGTTTCAAGTGATGAAACTGATGGAAGTGATGAAAGGGGGTCAAGCTTTAGCCCAATAAAAAGCTTTGGGCAAAACATCCGGACTTTGTATTTCAGAATGATTTGGACTCTTTTAATATGCAAGTTTTTCCAGAGCCAGAGTGTGTTTGTATGCGAGCAGCTGAAAACAAGAGTGTATATATAAAAATCAGTGTTTCAATCTCCAGCTTTGTGCATCACAAATGGATGGTCATGTTTCCTTAAGTATTCAATTCCTCCCTCTTGCCAACACAGCAGTAATACAAACCCTGCTGCTGCTGTAGGGCTTGATGTGTGTTAGAGGATATGTTCATGTCACAAGGATAAAATTAATCTCAAACTCAGATTTAAAAAAATAATTTGAAAAAAGAAAATAGGCTGGAAGCTGCAGCCTCTGGATGAGACGTTCCACTCACCCAGCTGTCTGAAATAATCTTCAATGCCGCTCCAGGAGTTTTTGGTAATGAAGGACTTGACGAAGGCCCACGGCTGCTTCCTGTACTTGACATCAGAGTACACCCTGCCAGCACCAAAAAAAAAAAAAAACAATGTTCAGCTCACACAGACCCAGAGCTGACTGATGCACTGATAAAGGTTGTACATTCACCTTAGTCGACACTTCCTCTTTGAGTTGCTCATGATGTAGTACCGGTTGTGTGTGTAGAAGTAGTCGTGATAGGGAACATCATGAGTGTACACCTCCGAGTCAACCAGGTAATACTGGCCATCTTTGGAGTCTCTGTGCAACATCTGAGAGACATTCAAGCTCAAATGATCAGCAGCCAAAAGACGGTTTTATACATTCAACGAGGCATAAGATAAGCGTTAATGTACCTGCGACTCGGTAGCAGCCGAGGACTTCCCAATCAGAGGGTTGCTGATGGTTATAACGTAGCTCAGAGTCCGCTTCATGTTACCAGAGGGATCCTTTTGCCAAGGAGAAAAGTTTGCCTCTAAAAGTGTGAAAAGAAAGAATAAGTGAGTGGACTCAAACACTTTAGAGCAGATTAGTTGAACATGAAGAGAGAAGAAGAATTAAGGCCTTACTTGTTATCTTGCGGATGTTCATGAACCTTTGAGCGAAGCCCGAGTCGGTGAAGAGCAGCTCAAACATTTTGCTTGCACTCATGTGGAAAACCTTGTTGAGATACAGCCGGCCTGACACCTGGGGCTGGCTGATTTTCTCTTCCACTGGTGAGTTCAAATATACAAGAATATTCAACAAAAGAAAAAAAGATTCCCCCCTTTAAGTCCGTTTAAGCGTCCGATGGAGTCAGCCACCTTCTTCGACGCTTTCCGAGCCGCTTTGCTCAGACACGTTCTCGTTTGCGTTGAGGTCCAGAGAGTTGGAGGAGCGTTTGGACTGCCTCTCTACGGCCTGCCGGTCAGGGGTTTGAGCGGGACTACGCTGCTGAGACGGCGTGTTGCGCGAATCATCCTACACAAGACGGGAGCACAAAAAAAAAAAAAAACTGCTGTTGGAAAATAATCTAAACACACAAAAGGTCACACTGTGTCAGAAAGAAGAAAAAAACAACAAAAAAAACAGCCGTAGCTACCGTGTTGGTAGTGCTCTGGGAGACGATGGGGGAGGGAAGTTCCTCCCCTTGAGGTGTGGAGCTCTCCAATGGCCCCTGCTCCATCCCGGGGAGGCGAAGACTGTGGGGGCGTTCCAGCCTCCTGTTGCCATCATCTCCACCAGGCTTTTGTGGCAGGCTGCAGATAAATATCTTAAGGTTTAGGTTTTTGTGGTTGCAAGTCCAAGTGTGTGTGTGTGTGTGTGTGCGGGCACGCGAGAGGGGAAAGAAATTCAAACCTCACCTGGCCTGGATGCTTGAATCTGTTGGTACCTGTAAGCTCTCCATCTCTTCATGGCTCAGGCCCAGATCATTCCCGTAATGCTGTTTAACCATCTGCCACAACTCCAAGCTTGTCAGAGGCTGGGGAAGAGGATGACAACGCGATCACGCAAACGTCAGAAGCAAAGCTTGCTAAAAAATTCCCCCTTTAATGCACACAACAAATCTGAAGCAGGAGCAGGTAGCCTAGGAACACCTGACCTCTGCACAGCCTGGCTTACAATCTTATCTCCAACCTGTCAGCCTTATTGTCAACCGTTCTGCCCCTCATCTTACATGTCAGAGTTAACCCTTGGCTTCCCAAAAGGAGTACCAGAAGGCACCGAGAGTAGAACACTGAATGTATGGGTTTGACAAATATTTAAAAAAAGTATACAAGTGAAAAGAGAAAAGTCTTCCTTAAAATAGATCTGTTAGTTCATATGGCAATTCTTGTCTTCTTTTCTCTCCAAATAAATGACCTCGAAACCGGGTTCTAGCGTCAATAATCAGAACCTGCAGAAAGTTCGAACCCCACTGACCTGCCAGTGGTCCAGCCCCCACAGCTGTGAGCCGCCGCCAAACGGTGAAACGGAACCTGTGCTCTGCGCGCATTCAGGAAGTCCTTAATCCGAGAAAGCTCGTGGGCCACTCAAAATTTCTCCGAAAATTACATTTAAAAAACCAAAACTAACCAAAAGCTCGGCGTATTAATCGTTTAGCGACCGTTTTCGTGCGACCTCGCCGACGGTTTGGTCACCGGGCGGCGCGCGGAGGGAGAGCTCCCTGCGGTTGGCTGGCGGTTAGCTCGTCGATGCCGTTCAGCCCTCGTGGCCACACCTGCATAGGTCAACGAACTCTCGTGTTTTTGTACACAGGTGTGTGTCTCCCAGATCAACAGGCCTACTCCCCCCTCCTCCCCTCCCCCCCGTGGGAGGGCTGCCATGGTGTCTGTACTAAAAAAAAAAAAGAAAAAGAAAAGTCAAGGTATCCAATTAAAGAGTAAAAAGTCCAACCTGGCTCTCGTTTCATCATCATTACGACAGCTGAGGGAAACGTGCTGCGTTTGGTTCTCCCGTTTATGGCAGTTTCTTTCGCAACAGACTTGAGCAACACAAAAAAAAAAGGGGGGGGGGGGTAGATTTTCTGTGATTCTTTTTTAAGCACAGCTGTGTAGCTCCATTATCCCTGATCATAATTTACCTGGGATTGACACAAAGAAATTACACCAACTGTTTTATGTCACTTGATTTTACATATATTCAAAGATAGCCATTGAAACTGCATTTACAAAGAGATAAGAAAAATTGTCCGAGCACTAAAGCAAATTTAGCTATCAAAGGTAACACACAACTCAAAAAACTCTGCAACTGTCCCATCACTGCTGTGCCAATTCACACCTACAGGAACCAATTCAATTTAACTGAGTACTATTCATTTAATTAATTAAAAAATGTCATCACAAACTCAACTTCAGCACTTAGCCTGGCCTATTTGGTCAATTTTCAAAAGCAAAACAATGGGTTTTCCCAGCTAGAGCCAGTTCAATGCATGACTCAAAGTTGTGCCTAAAATAAGAATGAGTACCAGTTGTCCATGGCTAAACCGCAGAAGTGGGATGCTTTCGTGCTTCGACAATATCCAACTTTTCTTTTTTGCAACGTGCGTTTGTTGAATAACTCTTAAAAGACAACAAAGTGCACAACTCAAGTGCTTCTGCTTCTTCCTAAAAGCCAAGTTTTTCACAAGATTTCAACAATTTTACGCAAAACTTTTAAAATATTTTCATCTCAACTTTGCAAATACACCAACATCTCATACATTTGAGGACACATTACATGCCTTTCTTCTTGTACGAAAAAACTAAACAAAAAAACACTGTAAAAGGTGAAATTGAGAATGGATGTATTTATAGCTACATACCAGACAGCCAATGTGGATAAATCCCCCAAACAAATGACTTCAGGTTGTAGAAGAGCAAACAAATGTTTGTGTTTGTTGGACTTATGAGCAAAGCCTGCAGCTGTGTGCAGATCTTTGCCCTTCGTGCCAGAAGTGGAAGAGCACCATTCGGCTTAAATCTGTGACTCAGGCAGTATGAAATGTACTCTGAACCTTTCAGATAAGTGCTTCATAACACTGGTGTTTTGGAAGGATTAGGGCTAGGCCTTCATGATACCAGACAACAGAAATGCCAACAGCCTTTTGTCATTTATTTTAAGAAGTGTTGCAGAAGGTTTCTACTATGACATGTATGGAAAAGGACACGAAGGAAAGATAACTGAATAAACAGTTTTGGAGAAGTTGTTAGTCCAACAACTTCTGGTGTTGTAGAAATGTAGAGCTACTTAGAGGCCTACCTTGTCCATCAGTGTGTTTTGCCACATGCGAAAAACACCCTGATAGCTTTTCTCTCTTGCTGAGAAGGAAGTGAAGAAGAACTGAGGGTGAAAAAAAACAAAAACAAAATGATGTATACAGCACATTTGTGTATCTGCTAAATCTGAACAACATTCCTAGAAACTGCTTTCCAACCACAGTACCTTTTCAGTGCTTGTGCAGATCTGGATTGCATTTGGAATGAGTCGAGCCGTTTTCTCTCTGGACATAGTCGCAATATCTTTAAAACTCAAAGTGATCTGAAAAATGAAGGTAAATTGTGTTTATTAAAAAGCATAGTGAATAATTGACGATCCAGAGGGAATTTTGATGTATTGACTAAATTAGTGCTATTTGTATTACAATCTGGTTATCAAGTACATCTTGGGTGTCGTTTTGCATCTGTATTATGCAGATTATGTACAATAAATGCACATTAATACCGTGATATGGTATTCTCGTGTTCTGGTCCATGTTGTTTTGCCTGTACGTGTTGCTGTGTGTACCGCCTCGCTCATATGGTGTACTTCTAGGAAGTTTCATTACCTTTGTGCCTCGAAACACATTGCTGTAGAAACACACCCAGTTCTCAGAGAGGTAGAGGCGACCCTGGAGGAGGATGTCTCGCTGAAGGGCACATGGATAATCTGTGGAGAACACAGAGCCTCATTAAGAGTCATTAAACCTCTTTTTTTTTCAACTGTTAGGGCACGTAGTAGTAATCTAATTTTCAGACAGTGAACTGTGAATAATTAAAACAGTGAGTTAATACAGTTCGAGGTTCTTGTCATAAATAAAAACAAGCAATTATATTGGGATGTATCCATTATCATTCAACTCTTACTTTAAACAATATGATGGGAGTTATTCCACAACCCAACCCATCTGATGAGCAAAACAGTCTTCTGCTTGAAATGAAATGTTTCCCTTTGAAACAACTCAAAACATCCATATTAAAGAGCCTGTGAGGCTACTCTGAATATATAGTTTAAAATGGAGTGTTTACCCACTCTAAATAAAACTGAGCATGTTCTCAGTGAGAAAGTGTCCAAAATCACCTACATTTTATTTATCACTGAGAGGCTGCTTGAAATACTTACCCACTAGTAGTCTCTCAGATTCAGGCACTTCCTTGAATAGCTTCTTAAACTCTTCTAGCCTCTGCTTGTAGTTCTGTATGGGAGCTTGAGGCGCTGCCAGACACTGTCCCTGAGTATCAGAGCTCTGACAGAAGAGACGTGAAAATATTTGATAAGATGGATATTGCTACTTGTTTGGAATGATGGCAGTCAAGTAAGGAGTTTGGAAGAAAAAAACACTTGAAAACCATCTGCAATGAGTTTAAGCCAATGCTAAATTGCATTTTATACTTTTTGGGCTTTGCAGATAAACATCCGCACAACTCTGGGCAGAAGTATTTTAAACCTCAGGAGGACAGTGAAAGATTTTCCATATCGGTTTATTTCATACTACATTGGAGCTTTGTGACTGGAGAGAATTGTGCAAAGGATACTCTTTAAATGTACGTGCCAATCTCTGATTGTTAAAGCTGACGTACATTTACTGACAAAGTATGTAGTTTAGCTTTTAGTCGCTTTTGTGCTTACATCTTCCTCAGAGGTCCAGCCGATGTCCACCAGAGAGGCCGTTTCATCTGTTATGTCATCGTTGCCCACTGACTGGTTGGATAGCTGGTCCATCTCCTCCACTGGAGGTCTGAGACATAAACATATTCTAATTTTAGATGGAAAGTCCATGATCTTTTTGAGAAAAAAAAAAGAATTAGAATACTAGAATCATGTGTCAAAAATAAGGATTTCTACAAATGTAAAGCAGAGACATGCAGACCACCTGTTTGGGGTCTTATCCTGGACCGAGGTAAATAGATTTTAATAATGACACAACACTGTTCTGCATGCCACACATTAATGTGGCTGAATTATCCTGAAACTACACTTCTGCAGACTGTCAGAAAATTAGCTTCTTATTCTGCTTCGAAAGCTTTTTACGCATCCTGTAAAAATGTTGGTCCTCTAATTTTAAGACAAGGTTGTGAAGCTAATTAAGGAAAATTCTACCATTTCCAATTTTTTGCAAAGCTTGGGATCTTGGAAAGGCTATATGAGGGGTCAAGAGTCCATACAATCTTGCTCTAAAAAGTTACATTTTAAGAGAAAGATTAACACTTGCAGTGTGTCTTCAATCGGGCATGTTAAGAAGCACCAAAACGGAAGGTAGTATCACTGCTGCAGAACCAGTTTGACAGGAGCGCTTTACTTTGGATGTGTGACCATGGACCGAAACCTGCAACCTAACTTTTAACCTGTAACGTGACAGTAAATGATCATATCTGCGTCGATAAAGTAGTGTACCAGTTTTTGTTAACTTCCAACAAAACCAAGTCAAGTCATCATTAGATAAAGCTCCGCGCTGCCATCACGTAAAGCTGCTTTTACGCACAGGCGTGATTAATCTTACCATCTCATTATGCGGGTAATCCGACACAAAATTGTGCCGTCAGTCACCTACCTGGCACGCACCGGACCCAGGGTTTCTGTTCAGTCAAACCTGACCGAGATTTAACGACCGAAAACGGATCCTTTTTAAGTTGGTCCCGCGTTGCTGTGGCTCTCTGCTGATGCGTTGAACGCCCTGTCCGCCGCCTTAATGTTGCAGGTGCGTTTGATTCGGTAGTTTGTGGGAGTTGTCGCCTTTTGGAATGACGCTCATTGACCTTTCCCGCAGCTATTTAAAGGCTCAAACCGGACTTCTCTCCTCTTAAGTTTACAGTCCTAGTAACTTCAAATCGAGTCCAGTATAAGAGCATTTTACATTTGAAAATTTTACAAAATGGTTTCAGCCAAAATGTGCTCAAAAATGTGTTGAAGGAAGATTTTCTTCCCGCAACATTGATGTAGAAATGAAAATTAAGTAACCAAAGCTGGATTGGTTGAAAATAACATTTGTAAATTACAAGCACTAAATTCAGCTTCAAATTTACTTTGAAGGAACCTGACGTTCTGAACTGTGCATCTGAAAGGCTGCAAATTCCAGTCTGTCTTTGAAATGCAGAGAGACCAGTTGGGCAGCACAAACAGCATGCTTAGAAACTATCAGATCTACACACAACACACAGGCCTTTGTTATTTTTTCCCCATGTTTTAATTCTTTGGGAGTATCATGATGAAACAGTTTGACAGCAGAGCATCGGAGTCTGACTCCGACACATTCACACAGCAAAGTACATGACTGCACAGCGTGAAACACAACCATTAAAACAAAAAGGAAAGCCTCTACATCAAAATGCTGGCAATAAATAGACTGATCTTATTAAATTTATATTCAATACTCTTCTGTACAGATGGTCTGTGAATTACAATACATCAACTCAACAATCCTCTTTAGGAAGAGCAATACAGCTACGCACACTAATCATGTAAACAGAGAGAGGAAGAAATGGGGAGATGAGATCTGCCTGTCACACACACTTAACTCTCACACACACACATACACATACACACACGATATGTGACCATGCAGAGGATCCAGAGTACAGCTCGGTCCAGCCACAAAAATAAAGTCAAATGAATACAGTACATCTTTCTCTTTTCCCTCCACATGAAACTGAAAACACACACGGTCACTCGCGAAGGAGCACGGGAGGGCGAACACAGGGTCTGGGAGCACGCAGAGGTGGAATGTGATTCCGCACTGGAGGGTGGTCAAGAGATGGAAAGTGGACGGGCGGACGCAGTGGACGCCTACTCCTCCAGCGTACGGAAGGCGTTCTGCATGTCCTCCACCAGCTGGGCGTACTCTGCCTTTATCTTGGCCTCGCCGTCCTTCACTGGGTCCTGCGCGCACAAATGCAGAGCGTGTCTCACAACACCGAAGGGCCACAGACAGGTTTATAGCTCATTCTCTGGACTTGGAGCAACAGCTGAACACACCTTGAATTTCATGGAGCTGATCCTGTAGAGGATTTCTCCCATGTGCTCCCTGATGATGGCCCAGGTGATCTTGTTGTCACTCTGAGCCGTGGTCTCCACCGCGTGCCGCGCCATGTCGTAGAAAGCTATCATGTTGGACAGAATGCCCACGGTCTTGTAGAAGGGGCAGAACCTGAGGACGCAGACAAGAACATCAGATGATCAATCATGATGGTCCACCTGAGCTCTGACCTGTGAGAATGACTGAGTGTGTACCTGTCGTAGGGAGTGTAACCATTCTGCTGCAGGAAGTCATCTTTAATCAGTTTGGCCACTTCCAGGGTGATTTTATCCGTTTCTGCCAGTGAAGCCTGCGAGAGAGGTAATTATTGAAGTATTTGCGGTACACTTCATGACTGCGGTGTCATTCAGGGGCTATTCTTCTGTTTAAGGTGCATACCAACCTTTCCGACGAGCTGCACGATTTCAGCCAGGTCTTCCTCCTCCTGCAGGATCTCCTTTGCCTTTGTGCGCAGGGGCACGAACTCGGGGAAGTGCTTGTCGTAATATTCGTCCAGAGCTCGAGTGTATTTGCTGTAGCTGATGAGCCAGTTGACGGAGGGGAAGTGCTTCCTCTGAGCCAGCTTCTTATCCAGGCCCCAGAACACCTGAGAGAAGATGCCCCGAGAACAATGGGAAGCCACATCAGCTTAGGGTGGTCAGGTTAGGCTGTTGGACCAGCGTGAGAGTAGGAGCAGGGCTTAATCTTTTACCTGAACGATGCCAAGAGTGGCGGAGGTGACTGGATCGGAAAAGTCACCACCAGGAGGCGACACGCTACGAACAGAGAGAGCAGATTCACTCAGGTGCTGTGTTCAGTGTTCAGTGTTCATAAAGGATGTGCAGAGTGCTGTCTCCCTCTAGTGACACAAAGCTGGACTCACGCTCCCACGATGCTGACGCTGCCCTCCCTCTCAGGGTTGCCCAGACACTTGACTCTTCCAGCACGCTCATAGAAGGAGGCAAGTCGGGCGCCCAGGTAGGCAGGATAACCGCTGTCTGTGGGCGCACACAAACCACAAGGCTCACTGGGTTGAAATCAGTCCCAGCTATGTTAAAAGCATTGTGATTTAGAGAAACGGAGCCTCAATATTCAAGCGGAATGGATCCTTTGACCACAATAGGAATATTAATTTATATCAAAGTCCAGTTTTGGCCCAGCTAACACATTAATTAGCATCATGTAAATTAGTTATTGTGCTTCTTGGTATTCTATGATCAAAGTAAGCCATAAAGACCTGGAGCTTCAGTCTTCTTTTCAATGCTTTAATCAAGAATTCCTTGAGAATGAACACTCACCGGCAGGCATCTCAGCCAGACGCCCAGAAATCTCCCTGAGTGCCTCAGCCCAACGGGAGGTGGAGTCAGCCATCATGCTCACGTTGTAACCCATATCTCGGAAGTATTCAGACAGTGTGATTCCTACAAGACAAACAGAGCTGAGCTCAGGAGAACTAAAGGACAGGACAGTTATCCTCTTATAGCCCTTATAGGGTGTCATTCTTAAGCATTACCTGTGTAGATGGAGGCCTCTCTGGCAGCGACGGGCATGTTGGACGTGTTGGCCACCAGAGCTGTTCTCTTCATGATGCTTTCTGTCTTTCCGTCCACCTCCATGGTCAGCTGATGACCAAACACAGATGTCAGTTTAGCTTCTGGAGACGTCTAGTCGCATCCACTGAAGAGGTAAGACTACCATCCCTCACCTCAGGGAAGTCTCGGAGTACTTCTGACATTTCGTTCCCACGCTCCCCGCAGCCTACGTAGATGATGACATCACTGTTGGAGTACTTGGACAGAGATTGAGAGATGACAGTCTTTCCACAGCCAAAGGCTCCCGGGATGGCAGTGGTTCCTCCCTGAACACATCTTTAGCCAGACAAGGAGAGTTAAAAACAAAAGGTCCTGTCTTAAAGATAAGCTTCTACACAGCCAGAAAAGGTGTGGGCTCACGGGAAAAGGGCGTCCAGCACTCTCTGACCGGTCAGCAGCGGGTGATTGGCGGGCAGCTTCTCTGTGACAGGCCGAATCTGTCTGACAGGCCACACCTGCACCATTGTGAACTTCTCCTTAATACCCTCAAACTCCAGCTCCATCACCACATCCTGGAAAAAGCAACAGGTGCACAACCTCACCACCTAGCAGCTGCTTTAAGGACACAGCTTTGGTTGGAGGAGCGAGTAACTCACGGAGATGTCATAGTTTCCAGGTGGAGCCACATAGGTCACAGTGCCTCGGTTCTTGGGAGGCAGCATGATTTTGTGCTTGATGAGGGAGTTCTCGTGGACCATGCCATAGATGTCTCCTCCCGTGATGTGACTGCCGACCTAAAGAAAGAAAAGTGAAGAAAACAGTCAAACTACATCCCAATTTTGAGACCAAGGCCCAAAATCCACTCAGCTCGTACCCGCAGGCTCTTGCTAGGACAAAAGTCCCACTTGAGGTCTCGATTGAGGGCTCCAATGTTTACTCCTCTGGGGATGTAGATGCTCTGTGTCAGGTCGTTGATGTCCTTTAAAGGCCGCTGGATACCATCAAAGATGGAACCCATGATTCCTGGACCTAGCTCGACAGAGAGAGGCTTTCCTGTCCGCAGCACAGGATCTCCCACTGACACACCAGCTGAATTACAACTCAGGAAAAAAAAGAAGTTTGAACCAGGGGATGTCGATTAGAAAATAAACAATTGGGGACATTATGTCAGCGGTAAGGATACACGTCTCCTCGTAGACCTGGATGGTGGCCATGTCTCCCTCTAGCCTGATAATCTCTCCCACCAGCTCGCTGTGGCCAACACGAACCAGCTCATACATGGCTGCTCCTGCCATGGACGTTGCTGTCACCACTGGAAACACAAGCAAGGGCCTTCAAAATGACGCTGCACAATTGTGAAAAATATTGTTGACTATTATTGTTGACCAGATTGTTTTTTCTGTTGAAGTTGTTTGTCTCTTTTTTCCTTTAAAGATTAATTTTCTGTCGTGTCATGGACACAGAACTAGCACCAACAGCTCTCTGTAGCCAAAAAGCTGCTGGGGCTTACGAACCCTGCAAGTGTTCCATCTAAAAGAGGACAAGCGCTCATAGTACTGCTAATGTGTCGCTTAACGCTCCTGTAACCACTTTAGCTAGTGTCAGGGCGTTAGAACATTTTTAAATGATGAGATAAAGACAAGAAGAATTCAACAATGACGTTTTTCAAAAGTTCAATGCACATTTAGTTGTTAATGTGCGTTATCACATTCACACATTTTCCTCTTTGAAATCAGGTTATGAGAATCGAAAAGGATTCTCAAAACTGGTAAAGGTCTGCTGGATCCACACTTGCAGGGTCATTTACTGAAGAATTATCATTTTTAATAATAAATAAAACAAAAACATTTGGTTGTCTTCAGGTGTTGATGTGGGGCCAACCTGGTCCAGAGACGCCATGGACGTATCCAAACTGGCTCTCTCTGTCCTCATCCCTGATCTTGGGCAGCTTGGATGTGTCCATTTTCAAAGGTTAATAGTCTGAATGGAAACAGGGGAAGAGGCAACCTGTGAGCAACAGATATCACAAAACAACTTCTTTAATCATCAAACACATCTACTTGCAACTGTGTACAAATGTGACTTAAATGCAGCTATTTCATTCTTCAGTTTGGGATGAAATTAATTACTTTAAAATCAGCTGGTTTATTTAGTATAGTTTGTTTTACAAATTACACACTACATGTTAGAGCCTTTAAAAAAAATCAAAAGATTATATATCTGTGATGCTTTCCAGGCACCATTTACTGCCTTCATCCACAGCATCTTTAGAAACTTCAAAGGTAACGCAGGAACATTGATGTTTATTACTTAAAGTAAGCCACCTTCTTTATCTTCCACCCTTCCCTGCTACACAACACAAGCCCACAACTCGAGCCAGTGTGACGTCTGCAGCTGACACCAGAGGGAGATCCTAAAGAGGACCAGATCATTGCTACCACACTATGTTTTCCCTCACATGCAGATATGTGCATGGGAACACTCCCTGCTCTTCCTCCATTTAAAACATCCAATGCTTCTGATAGCTTTCAAAGTTATCTATGCAGCATGTATACTAAATCTTGTGGTGTGCAAATACATTTAGCAGCAGCAAGCTCAAGCTGTCTTCAGTCGTGACATAAACCCTCCCCCCACAGTGCTGACTGCAGATGATCTGGGCACACTTCAGTTCAGTTTGATGCACAAAATGCTGCATTCTTCAGCCCCCGTTCACCAAACCCAGACGTTTACTCTGTATCTTTTGCATCCCTTTGTCCTTTTTTTGCCCTTCCCAGTGATGTAAATCTCTCTGTTTATGCTAGGCTGCTTACCAAGCTTGACTTTTGGAAAGCAGCTCCCCCTGCAGGGTAACGTGAGAACTGCAAGAAAAACAACTACTCACGCTCTCTGTTTTTCTAGACTTTTAAAACGACAGAATGTTCCCCGCTAGTTCAATGTAAGAAAAACAGAGCATATTTGTATAATGTCTTGGTCTAACCAGCATATAGAGGAATCATAATGTTTGTTGTTCCACAGCTTAATGTTTAAGAACAACCAAACACCTGCTTGACTACTGACAGTAGTAGACATTGCTTTCAGCAGGGTTGAAATACATTACCTTTGGTATCAATGAAGAAACGATCTATGACAGCTTTATTACAGCATTCAGAGCAGGCAATTCACATGAAACCCCTCAATACTATCACATAACCTTAAATAAGAGTGAAGAACAAAGTCTGTATCACACACATGGTCATATGATTGCAGCACATGACTTTCTGAGTTAGTTTAAGGAAGTGTGAAACGAGCATGTTGCAAAACTGGGAAGTACAATTATAACTGTGTAAGAAACAGCCCAGCTGATAACAGTTTTCCACAGAAAATATCCAGAGTATAGAGAATTTACTTGTGTTCTATGACGCATAGCCTAATGTTTAGCCTGACAACAGAGATGGATTATAGAGAAGATGACTTGGTCTCCAGTATTGTTTAAAATGGGAAAACCTTCTGGCGAGAGATCGGACTGTGAACAAAAGGGTAGCACACTTAAAGATGTTTTGTGGACCTAATAAGTTCTGAAATGCTACATATATGTGTGAAGTGAGCACACGAAACAACCTGACATGATGATGTTAACCACAATCGAGTGTAAGTGGTTGGTGATCGTTTTTTACTTTGTAGAATTTAAAACATAAAGACAGCATGATAGCCTGGTTATGATAAATTACACGCAATGACCTGAGTCAAAGCTTTGTAGCCGATTTTAATGCTATCTGGCATCTTTCCTCGACATTGTTAACTAGCTAGCTATATTTACACACGGAACGTCTAAATTCCGTCCAATTTAACGCAAAAGGGACAAGTTTAACAAACCTATTAACGTTTTAAAAGGTCTGTTTGGCTCATTCGGTGCTTAAATGATAGCACTGCCTGAATAGTCGGCCTCGTTCAAAACTGCTGCCTCTGCCATTTAAGCACTACGAAATTATCGTTTAACACTTCAATCCGTGTATATAATTACAGCACAAGTGCAAAAAAATTAAATAAAACATACCGTTTACCGTCTGATCGTGAACTGTCCTTTTCGTGTCTTGCCTCGAAAGAGAATCGTTGGATACTGCGGTGCGTGACAGCAGGCTGAAGTCAGCTGACTTCATTCACTCGCTGTTCGATTTTTTTACGGCGGGGCCCACGCAACCGCCGCCATTTTGGATCTGCTACGGACCACCACGAACGCCTTCAAGTGTTTCGTGGTGATGACGATACACCACATTATGTCAATATTTGTCTACGCACGGTACTAGCATGTCGGCCCTTGGTACTAATTATCAAATGTTTTGGAATAGGATTATTTGCGTAGTTGTATCCGTCGTATTGTAAATGTGTGTTCAATGCTGTGTTCACTGACGTCTGTGAGCAAGATGCATGGAAGAGAAACTCATGAAAACACAGGCTATTTATATGTAACTTCCGATACTGTATTCAGTCCACTTGAATTAACGTTCCATACAACATCTTCGTCCGAAGATAACATGGGATATGGTTGTTCATCTTTTACATAGTTGACTATGTGTGTAGCAAAAGTTGAACCAAAATGGACGGGCACATTTAGTTTTGTATATATTCAGAAACCAAGTAATTCAAATAAATGTCCTATTCCACTTAATTTGTGTCTATTTATTTGTGTATGCGGAGCTTGGATTTGAATACAACTCTTTGTGATAGTAATTGAATCATTATTATTGTTATTTTTGTTGTATCTTACGTTTTTTATTGTGTTGTTGCTGCTGCATCAAAATTACTTTGAATTTAATTTAAAATTGTGTACAGACCGTAATTAAGTGTTAAATATTGTTTTGATTAAATGTTTATCAAGATATAGATAAATATGAGCTTGAGAAATCCCAATAATAAAAGTAGTTTCAATAATATATTATTACCCTGAGTATGGACTGACTTATTGTTTTATGGTTGTATGTCACAGTTGCTAAAATCAATGTTTCTTACATTAAACTGCTGACATATATGATATCATATGACCTTAAGTTAACTACTTTAAAAAATATATATCTTCTTCTGGACAAACAACATCCTGACAGTCAAAATCCAGGTAATAGTACTAAGCGATTAAAACACCACTTATGCGCATGCGGGGGTCAGGGTTGACAGTCTACACAGTCGTGGTAGAAGTGTGACGGCTAAGCTAGCTGCAACCATCGCAACTAGCTACATGTGGAGGGTTAAACGGGAGACATCCCAAACCCCAACTCTGTTTAATTTGTTATATTTTAGACTAAACAACGTCAAAGTTCGGCCTAATCGAGAATAAGGGATAATATCTATTTAAAATGAAAGGGTGAGTGTAAGCTTTTGAGTCACCAATATCCAGCTTAGCACGAGTAAAGTTTTTCATGTCTGTTTTTTTCTACAAGGGAGGCGGGGAGGAGACGACAAGGATAGCTAGGGCGCTATGCTACTTTAATTTAGGTTTAACACCGAAACACCAAGTACATAAGGCTTACTAGAACCGGTATTTGACGAATTGTCTTGTTGCACTAAGTGGTTTGTAGGTTCGTTTAGGTTGCTAATATGCTAAGCTAACCTGCTAGGTGCTAGTTGAAAGCTGAGTCAGTAAACCTAGTTTAGCTAAAATGAGAAGGCAGCCCTAAATCTCTTCGCTCTAAATTCTGCCACACAAGAGTAGCCAACTCAGTAAAATACATCACAAGAGAAGTTCAACCATATTATTTTATTGGTTCAAAGTTGTCAGTATTTCGGTACTGCAACTTCTGACTTCGTTCCAGCTCACTTAGTGTAACTTGATCTGCCAAAGTGTTTCACCACAGTTTTGCATCACGTTTTGAGTAACATGTAACGTTGCCTCAACTTTTGGCATTGTTAAATATCGCCAATTTGTTAAATGACATAAGATAAATCGGACCAAGCATAGTTATTTACGTAGCTGGGCTTTCGTTGACATTACTGTACATCCTTGTGTACAACACACGTGACCATCAGCTGTTTTTGGATGCGTCCTATATTTACCACTATGAACCCCTCATTAAGGCAAAGTAGAGTGCTCTTACAGGGTCAGTTTGAACGCAATAATGCAAGCCCTGAAATGACACACCTAACGCTTGATTTTAACATATTCAAATGATGTTGAAGTTGTAAAAATCCTTGAATGCTTAAAATTCTATCTAAGATAGGATGTGTCACAGTTTATGCTTTCAGTCATACACTTTCATTTTTGTCTTACTAATTTGTTGTCTACAGTTTCAAAAAGCAGAGGCTGACTTCTTGAATGATTTCACTAATACTGCAGTGTGGCATTAAATAATGATGCAGTTTGTAAACGGACTGATAAACTGTTTACTTTGTATGTTATTTGTCTAAAGTTGTCCCTAGAGATGCATTGATATTCAATCTTACTGTAATTGTCATTCCTTTGAACAAAAAAAAGCACACGAGTCAGATAATCTCAACTGTAATGGTATGCCTGTTGCCTGCTATTTGACCGTTTTGCTCTTGTTCCAGTAGCCGAATCGAGCTGGGAGACGTTACGCCCCACAACATCAAACAACTGAAACGCCTGAATCAAGTGATCTTTCCTGTCAGCTACAACGACAAATTTTACAAAGATGTGCTGGAAGTTGGAGAGCTTGCAAAGCTAGGTAAGACAGGCTAAGAAGTAAAATCGGTTGACCAATAGACTCAGTCCTCTGTGATATATTTACAAAGTACATCCCTTTAATTTTTTTTTCTTTCTTGCAGCATACTTCAATGACATAGCAGTTGGAGCGGTGTGCTGCAGAGTGGATCACTCTCAGAACCAGAAGAGATTGTACATCATGACACTTGGCTGTCTAGCACCCTATCGTAGACTTGGAATTGGTAAGGAAATCTGCCTAAAAAAGTTTTGACTAAGACATCTTGTGATGTCTCTTTTTTCTCTTTGTTTTCTATTAAATGATCCATTAATTAATTTATTCAAAAACATATATATTTTAAATATTTTTTTTCTCCAGGTACAAAGATGCTAAATCACGTGCTAAACATCTGTGAGAAGGATGGCACTTTTGACAACATTTACCTGTAAGTGTCTTGAGCAGAGCATGTACAAAACATGGAATATGTGGCTTCGGCCAAGGTCATTTACAGCATCTTTTAGCTGAATCTCTTTAGAATAGAAAATAGATATAATTCCATGTGAAAATGTGGTGATTTGGAACTTATCCAAATTATCTACAAAATAACTTAACTTCTCTTTTCCTGCTCCATAGTCATGTGCAGATCAGCAATGAGTCAGCCATTGACTTTTACCAGAAGTTTGGCTTTGAGATCATCGAAACAAAAAAGAATTACTACAAGAGGATAGAGCCTGCAGATGCCCACGTGTTGCAGAAAAGCCTGCGCAGTCCGTGTGCGCCGCCCAGCGGAGAGCTTCAGAAGACGGAATAGGGACACAGCTTTGGGAAAGGGCACACACATGCCCACCAGCTCAGAAACAGAACTGTGACAAATGCCCCATGGTCAACGCATTCAACAGTTTCTCCAAAGGACGCTAAAAACATAGAAAACAAATTTCAAGTATAAAAAAAATGCTGCATTTATTTTGAAAAGGTGATTTTTGCATATTTTATTGCTCCCCTTTATTTGTGCCGAAAATTGACAATGAAAGAAATATCAGTATCCAAAACTGCTCCGAATGATAAAAGGCTAACTTCTGACAGTTTTAGACATGGTGGAGGGCGAGGGTGTGGTGTTTTCAGATTATACTGTTTGTGATTGAGTTGTTTTTATGCAGCTGTGGCACCTGATGGCAAAATTTCTGTTTTGTTTTGCAAAAGGAAACAGTTGGTCTGAAGAGGTAAAGATGTTTTAAAAGACCATCACTGACTGACACACAGTCCCAGCTGGTCAGGTAGGAGTGTCACGTGAAGTTCTTCCATGGAACAATCACAACTTATCTCACACTACCTGGAACCTGGATTTCATGCAAAAAGAGTTTGTTCATATAGCTAAACAGAAGGCGTTAAAATCCTGTCCCCCAGAGTATGAGCATAAGTAGGGCTGAACGGTTCAATGGTGTTGGAAAGGTGTGGTCACAACTGTTAATTTCAAGCCGGTTCTATCAATTCCCCTCAACTGTTGTTTTTATTTTCCACAGTGAGATGGCAAATGGTTCGGGGGTTCTCCTGGGTTTACAACTAAAAGTGAAAGTAGTCTAAAATGAGGGAAACAAACAAAGATATTACATTATATTGAAGTGGTTCTGAGTAGTACACTGCAATGTTTTCAAAGGAATGTATCAGTAATTATAGATTGGCTTAATGGATTCATTTGGGCATTATTTTCAAGTAGATCATTCATGGTGGGTTGGCATACATGTCTCTAAACGGGGGTATTTTGAGATATAATTCCTTCACCACCTTTGGGACATTATGTATACATCTTGGAAAAATGGATCCTTAAACTTCCTGCCTCAGTCAGCTTTTGTTGTTACACAAACCTACAGTAGGTACCTCAGCTGATAGCTGGAAGTTTTGCTAGGATCTCTGTTTGACAATGAATTACCCAGAGGAAGCGCCGACCCCTCTGCATGCAGGGAGAGTGGTCCTCTCCACTGTAGTATAAGCATGTTTTCCTTTCTTTGAAGAATTTTATCTTTTCTGGAGCTCTATATTGTAAGACTTTTTAACGTCTTAATAAAGGAATTACTATTTGCAGTAAAACATGTGTTGGTTGTGTTCTTTGGCTTAATTTGCAACGTGGATTTCTTAAATTGACACTAAAAACGAAATTAGATATATTTATTACTGCGTGCAATCAGTGATTATAGATACTTTCGTCACGAACTCGTCCCCAAGATGCATCACACTTTGTGATTGGCTGCAACCTTTTAAACCCGGAATATCATTGGCTTTCATTTTTAGAGCCCTCCCTTCTCTGCACGGATTTAGGTGTATCTAGATTGTTTTGAGAGATGAGTTGAGTTGAATGCTTTACTAGCTAATACTTAGCTTCCTATGTCTAAGTTCTTACTGGAACCAGCTGTCTGCAAAATGTCGAGTCTAGCGGTTGGTGAAATTTACTCTCCAGTAACATTCTATGAGAACAGACGCCAACGAAACCATCGTTAATTCGCGTGATAGATGTGTAGGTAACGCAAAGCTAAGTTAGCTTTACGCTAACTAGCTAACAGAAAGCTAGCTGAATAGGTAACTGCTCAGGGTGCTAGTTTCTATCTAGTGTATTTATCCAATATTTTTTAAAAGCAGTTATTGTTGTCTGTGCTGCCGTAAAGCATGACAAACATCTGTTTGTGCAATTAGCTAAATAGGCTGTAATTATGCTGTAATATGAAGGTTAATGAGTTTATTTTGGCTATAAAGCTAAGTTAATCTCTATTAGCTGGTTAGCACCAGTTGTAATAACAACCCAGAGTAAAATAATATAATCTTCTACTGGTATCTTATGTTTAACCTAATCACTTGTCAATTTCGACTCGACTTTATCAAAGCTATACGCTTTTGTTGCATTGGTATGCAGTTTTAACTTCCTATGGTACTCATTAAAGGTTAATAATGTATGCGATTGCCTTACGTTTTATTTACAGGACGGGCACAGGAAAAATTTAAGGTCCAGTTGTTGAATGCGTTGGCTGTTACCTTATCATCCAGGCAACTGTTAAGACAGGATGCCAGAGATGACTGAAACTCAGGCACCTGGTCGTAAACCTAAGTAAGCAAGTCCAACGTCTTAATCCAACTCTCAGCATTTATTCAAACATTTGGGTCTAGATCTCATAACAATGCAACATTTTTTTTCAGAAAGAAGAAAAATAAAGAATCTCACAATGCTGGTAATGTTTCCTTGTTTGTAACCACTCAATTGAGATTGTAATGTGTTTGATGACATTTAGCTTTAAAAACTAACAGGGTGTCATGTGATCTATTTTTTCTTTGTAGTTGAGAGACACAGAAAAGAGAAAATTAATGCAGGAATTAACCGTATTGGTAATCTTCTGCCATGTTCCCAGGCTCTTAAACAGGTGAGAAGCAAGTTGCCATTCCTGGTTATTGTTTTTCGTTGTATGTGGAAATTATTGACTTTATAGGAGAATGGGATTTTATTCTAAACCTTTTTTTTCCATATAGAGTAAGAACATGATACTCGACCAAGCTTTTCGCTACATCACTGAACTGCAAAAGCAAAACGACACAATGCTTCTAGAGGGAGGAGATAAAGTTCAAGGTAAATTGTTTATCTTTTCTCATAAAAAAAAAAACATGTCACATAATAATCCCTGCAGGGTCAATAAAGCGATGTGCATGCTAGGCCCCTGTGTGCTGACACTCATTTTAGTGTTGCATTTGGGAGTATATATCCCATTTATTGCAATTACAATTTGGTTTAAACATATAACATATGGTTAATCTGGTTATGGCATTTGATGCATCCATAAAAATGTATAAAGATGTGTACCAAGCTGTGTAATAATGTATCTGTACAAATATCCTGGTTTAATAGGACTCTCTGATCATTGTGGTCTTATGTTGCACTTGTGACCATCATACTTTACCCGCATAAATAATGATGAGCTGTTATCCTTGTTATGATACTTGAATTTTGCTGGAATATATTGGAATTGCCAAATAGAAACTGACCTGAGGTCTTTGCTGCCAGTTCTCCAAATCACTGACTACTGCTCCTCTAAACTTCAGCTCTCAGTTATTAATATAATAAAGCTTTTTCACTTCAATTCAGGATTTATGACAATGGCTATGCTGGAAATTGAATGAATAAGAATAAGATACACTTTGTTCTGTTTAGAAAGAGTGAATGTCTATGTTAATTTTATTAAATGTTTAAAAAACTAAGTTAAGCTACTTGACAGCTCAAGTATTTGTAGCTCAAAGTATTTTAAGGACCTGGGCAACTGAAAGTTTGTATCAGACCATTCTGATCGGACAGAATTAGACTGAAACTCCCACATGCTTTCATGCCATGGTAGAGAATTTAATCAGTTTATGCAAGAATCCAAAATATTGTTTGTTTTTTATATTATTGTCTCTTTTCAGCGGAGGAGATACGTCGGCTTCGGCGTCAGTTGGAGGAACTGAGAAAGGAGAGTGGTCACTACATTGAGCTCCTGAAAGCTCATGATATAAACCTTCATGAGGACCCAACTAGCCACTGGAAGGGCAAGCAGCGCAATGCCAAAGTGGCAAAGGTGACTCCCACTCATCAGCTTCCAAAAGGGATTGTTGTTTATTCCAACGGCAGCGCGATGTGCCCTGCAGGGAAGCAGCCCAGTCCAGGGAAGCAGCCCTCTGAAACAATAATTCTTCAGTCAACATCTGAGGCCAGATTAAGAGTCAATGGAGCTGTGCTGCAAGTTAATGCGTCTTCCTCCACCCCTGCGCTTCTCCCCGTGTCAGCAGCTTTGCCCACTCAGTCTACGACTGGTCTGAGAATGATAGAGCAGCGTGTAGTTGAGACACCGGCTGCAGCCCCCTCTCTGCCACCCTCTGTGTCTTACATCACCCTCCAGATCCCTGCTGCCACCACAACCCTGGCACAGCCAACAGAGCCCGCTGCCCTTCATACCCTCACTGTGGCAGCTACTACTCCAACTGAGAGCTCTGCTGTGACGGTGTCCACACAGCCCACATTTACCCAAACTGTAACCAGAGCAATGACTTCAGACGTTTGCTCTTGGGTTTCACCAGATAATGCCATCAGGACAGTAAGTTACACTTCTATCCCAAGCAGCCAAACTCTTCTTCGGGCCGGGGCTGCAGGCAGCACGCAGACTACTTGGACAACATTGCAGATGGCTGGGAACACGGTGCAGCCAGTATGCCAAAGCCTCCCCTCTCAAGAGGCCAGCAGTGCCACCCAGGCTGTCCAGCAGGTTACTGTGTGTCCAGGGAGCAGCAAACCGTCTGTTCATCCTATTCAAATACAGATGCAACCAAATGTGCCTTTACAACAGGCAACCATTACAGGTCCCATTCAAGGACAGCCCATTCAAAACCCATCCCAGCTTCGGCCAGCAGTTCTAAACCCGGTGCAGCCTCAGGCTATTCTGGCCGCACAGCCGCGGTGTGCCGTTCTTCCCCAGTCAGCCATAGTCCCCCAGCCAGCTGTTGTGGCCCACCCTGCGGTTGTTTCACAGGCCCAGCCTACTGTACTTCAACCAGCATCATTGGTTCCCCACCCTCCACCAGCCCTTATCCCACAGCCACAGCCCCTCCCTCAGCCCACCCTGGTGCCCCAGGCACAAGCCACTGTGCTGCCCCTCCTTCAGACCATGCAGGTACTTCAAGTTAACCCAGCTGCAGCAACAGCATCAGGTGCGACAGCATCCCAGAACACAAACAATCCGAGTGTCGTTATTCTGCAGCAGACCAGTGCCTGCCCAGCTCCGCCAGTTGTGAGAGAAGAAGTGACTAATCAGACACCATGTCAGCATATTGTAATTATCCAAGCACCAAATCAGGCTGCGTCTGCTTCTCAGAATCCTCAAGTGGGTATGGTTCCTGCTCCGATACCTGCCGTGTCCACACAGACACCTGCAACCAGTAGCACAATGTCTGTCACTCCCTTACATAGCGTTGGGGGAAAGCAGCTTGTGCATATCCTTCCTCGTCCTGTTCCGCCTCAAGTGAACCATACTGTGCAGGTAACCCAGGCATCCTCTTCTGCACTAGTTCCCACAACTCCCAAAACGATCACTGTGAATGGTCAGGTGTTTGCCCTGCAGCCCCTGAAGCCCTCTGACAAATCCACCTGCCAGGGTGGCCAGAGTACTCTCCAACTGGTCCAGCCCAACACCACGGAAGAACCAACTACTAATGTGGCACTCAACAGCTTGGGGGCCCTTAGTAGCCTTAATCAGAGCATCTCACAGGGGCTCCCCCTTAATATTTCAAGTCAGAACAGTTGTATGCCTCCACCGGCTCCACTATCACTACTCCAACAAAATCAACAACCCCCTCCTGCTCCAGCACCCACTGCTGTTGCTACGCTTGTTCAACCTCCCCAACAGCCACAGGTCCCTTGTGTGAACCCAGTCAAATCAGGGCCTGCTGTTAATGCTTCAAAGCCTTGTGGAAATAGACTTCGCACAGCTTTAATTACAAAGAGAGTAGTACCTAAGAGGACTAAATCTGCCAAGAAGAAAGAGCTCATTCCGGTTCAAACTGCGGTTGCTTCTTCAAATGCAGTGGCTTCTGGAGGGGTGAGCCAGAAAGTTCAGGTTGCAGTTTCTCAAGTTGTACAGTCTTCAACTGTCAAAGTCACAGATATTAACCCTACGTGCACCACGGCTGCCACAACTGCACAAAGTGTTGCAGCTCCAGACAGAGTTACTGCTAGCGCATCCTGTATTCCAGCTGTCTTAGGCAAGACACATCAAGAAGGTTCTAAAAGTTCTACTACTGCATCTCAGACTGATTCAGTAGTCAGCCTTACCACCACAAGTAGTATCGCAGCCACATTTCCAACCGTCAGTGTAACATCAGTAAAGCCATCCATCAGTTTGTCTACTGTGAGTAAACCAGCTGCTGGTTCTGGCCACAGCTCATCTGGAAGCAAAGTCTCAGCTGCCAATGTTAAACAGTCAACAGTCAGTGGAGCAGCTGACACAATGCAAACCAAGTCATCTCCAACCTCCACTGTTTCTAAACAGAACAAAATGGCAGCAGCTTCTGCAGCTGCCACCGACTCTTGCCACACATCCGCAGCAAATTCAACTGCAGGTTTATCTCAAGTTTGTACCAGTAGCGTCACAGCCACCACACCAGTTTCTGTACATCAGACCACCCGGACGGCCTCCCCATGCCTTTCCCTTAGATCTAAAGGACAAGATCCACTGCCTTGTAAAAAATCAGAGCCTCAGCCCACATCCTCATCCTCTGCATCCACAGCGGTGGCTTTTTCATCACCTGCACCAGTGTTTTCTGTTGCCCACAGCTCCGTTACAGCCTCTTCAACTAGTTCAGAGATAAGAAAAAGACCCACTACTCCAAGAGCTCCGACACAGCAGGCTGAGATGTCTATGTCCAACCAGACCCCATGCCACCCTGTGGAGGTGAAACCACACCAGGCCCCTAGAATGAACAGGGATGCTCAGGAGGAGAGGCATTCCTCAGCTTCACAGAAAGAGAGATTAGTGGCAGCCAATGATCCCTCGAGAAAGGAGTTTGCACTTTCCCAGCAGGTTTACACAAACCTAGACGATCAAGATATGGAGCACCCTCTGAGTTCTGGCAGACAGACAGATTCTCCCTCCTCTGCAGGACCTGGAAGTGGCAGAGGATTCTCTGTGGCATCAATGCTCCCCCAGGGCCAAAGTATCGGTGCACCAGCCAGCTCTTTTGGAACATTTACATTTACATCTGAGCAGGCAGAGATGCTTGCCCTGGCCATGCTTGAACAGGACAGCCCTGGGAGAAGAGGTGGAGGCTGTTCCGGGGATAGTGCCTCTTCATCTAACTCCACCACAGCTACATGGGAGCCCCCCAAAACCCCAACAGTCTCCTCTAATAAAGAGAGGGGCCTAGCTGGCCAGCAGGCTAAAGTGACTAAACCCATGGATCCAGGAACTGTTAAACCTGTTGTTGAGATGTCAGTCAGAGGACAAATTAGGGAGGGGCCAGTCAGCAGTACAAATGTAAGTAGACATCCACAAATTATTACATACTCACAGTCTCAGCCGGTCCCCCAGGCCCAGTCTCAGAGCTCATCCCAGAGTGGGACCGTGACTTGCCTTAGTGTCAACAATCTGATACGGTCAAGCTCCAGCCACCAGCCATATCCTAGCTCCCCTAATTTTGCTGGCCAACAGGGCTCCGTTCCCTCTCCTGTGGGGACCTCGGCTCATATTTCCCAACCTTCAAACAATGCCCTCTCACCCTGTCCGGGTGCTGCCCAGGCAAATGAATATACCCCCTTAAAGTCTTCGCTAATGAGGGCCCAGCCGGGAGGTGGAGTGGGTGAGCGGCAAGTAAAGATTATTTCTAAACGGCAGGCTCAAGAAGAAGTAATGATAAACACAGGGAAACGTCCCAAGCCTTGCCCACAACCAACGAACATTGTTAGCCATATGGAGGTAAAAGCTCCAGACCACAGTCAGATTATGGTGGGACAGCTGCCATCCACCTCCTCTTCTATCATGGCAAGGATTAATTCCGAGAGTGGAAGCCCTCTCTTTTCCACAAACTCCTTCATGAGTCCTGCAGTTCACCCCACTGAGGCCCACTGTCCTGCCCAGGGACCCCCTGAGCAGAGTCAGGTGGGCGTGCTTCATCTGACCCAAGGTCATCCACAGCATGCAGTAAACCAGACGGGCCAGCATCTGGGAGGGAACCTTTACATGAAACAGCAGCAGCAGCAGGAGCAACAGAGACACCAACTGTATCATTTGCAACACCACCTGACACAGCCAGACCCCGCACAGCGCCACTCCCTACACCAGAGGGCGCTGCAGCAGCAGCAGCAACAGGAGCAGCAGCATGTCCAGAAGAAGCGGGGGCTGGTGAGGGGAAGTCAGACCGGCTCACCTGCGGGCATGCAGCCTAAGCAGCATCACATGGAGAAGTCTGGAGTGCAGCAGCACTCGCATCAGCAGCAGACGCAGCATCAGCAGCGCACGCAGCAGCAGTCCCAGCAGCACCCGCAACAGTCCCACCCACAGTCCCAGCAGCACCAACAACCAGCACAGCACCAACAGTCCCATCCCCAGCAGCACCAACAGCAGGCGCACCAACAGCCCCCCCAGGCGCAGCATCAGCAGCAACAGCAGCAGCATCAGCAGCAGCAGCAGCTGCAGCAGCAGCAGCAGAGCAGCCACTCCAGGCACCAGCAGCATCTGCAGCAGCAGATCCAGCAGCAGCAACAGCAGCAGCAGCACTTCAGGCATCAGGACAAGAGCTGCGAAGCCCAGGGAGCAGGATCCAGAGCCCACCACAGCAGCCACATGGCTCAGCAAGACCACCTCAAGGTAGGAAGGCTGACACTGGCGTTTATTTAGAAAATAGGGCAGTTGTTGAAAAGAAATTTTAAGATTTGAATAACTAAGGTACCCAACTATTTTAAAGCAAAAAATATTTTTAAGCACTATTGCTAGAGAAGTTTGGTGAAGATTTGGTTATTTAATCTGGAGGAGGGCAGAATAAACTATCTTATCTTAAAAGGAAGAGAAAGATATGTGTTAAACTCTGGTCTGCAGCACTGCAGTTTCCAACCTTGGGTTGGGTACATCTTTATAACTTGTTGCTGTTATTAATCTATTACAACAAGCCTTTGTCTCACAAATATTTCTAAATTCTCATTCCTCAGTCTGGTCAGGACCATAACGCAATGCAGAGGATGATGAACTCCAGGGGTCTGGAGCAGCAGCTCATCTCTCCCTCCAGCAATCCAGTGTCCCGCTCGTCTGAGCTGGCCTGTGCCCCTTCTCGCCAGGAGCGGCACCGCGTGTCCAACTATTCTGCCGAGGCGCTCATCGGTAAAAGCTCCACCAGTGGCGAGCAGCAGCAGCGCATGGCCCTCCACCTGCAGCCCGGCCGCGGCGCCGCTCAGGAGCAGCAGGACCTCAGAGGCTACCTGGACACATCGCGGGGAAAGGCTAGCATTGCACACAACCCCCAGAACCGCCTTCCCTCCGAGCATCCGGGCTCCGATGTTCAGCACGTCTCGGAGTGTCCACCCTTCAAGGCCATGGGCGGGGGTGGGGGGGCACATCAGCTCGGAGGTTTCGAGGCTCAAGTGTCTCGTGGAAGCGACATGGCCCCTAAGCCGGTGCCTCCCTCCCAAAGGGGTCCTCAAGGGCAGCAACAGGGAGGGTTCAGGATGAATGTAGGTCCCTCAGTGGATGGCAGAAACCGTGGTGGCTACAGTGGAGCTCACTCTGGCCTGCAGGGGGTGCAGGTTGGGCCGGCTCAGGACGGCTGTCACCAGAGTTTCATGCAGAGCCTCCTCTCGCCCCACCTTCCTGAGCAGACCAGCCACCAGCGAGCCGTGCAGTGCTGTCCTCCAGTCAGCATGGAGTACAGCTGTGTGCCTGGAAGCTCCTCGGGAGACATTCAGGCCAAGGCCTCAAGCCCAAGCGTGCCGCAGTCTCAGAAGGCCCCAGCTATGCGACTTGCAGAGAGCAACAAGGGCCACATTTCTCAGGTCAACGGTAATATGCACCAGGGCCCAGGTGTGCGGACAGGGCTCCCCCACCCTCCACCCCCACACAGCAGCTCTGAGCCCGGCCGCACCTCGGCCCCCTCCAGACCACCCACCGCTGTCAGCCAGCACTCTCGCCATATTGCCCGAGACACTCAGCCCGCTAAACTGAGACCGGGTGACCGGCCTCGGTCAGGCACTCTGAGAACGACCAACCCCTTCGAGCCGGATGGCCACCTGCCACTGCCCTCCGGGGGGGGAGTGCTGTTGAGCCGATCGCAGTCCGGAGGAGAGGCCCGCCGCAGCACCATTGTTCGCCTCATGGCCGACAACGGGCAGGTTCCCGGAGACAACAACCTGGTGGCTGACCAACACCTGACCCAGAACTTTGGCTTCCCCTTTATTTCTGAGGGGGGGATGAATCCTCCACCTCCCATCAACGCAAACTCCACGTTCATCCCTCCGGTCAGCCAGCCCAGCACCTCCAGGACACCGTCCCTCCTGCCAGTGGAGCCCCAAAACACTTTACCCTCCTTCTACCCCTCCTATTCTCCTGCCGCTCACCCCAGCCTTCCCAGCGATGTCACTCTGCAGTACTTCCCAAACCAAATGTTTACAAGTCCCAGTGCAGACAAAGGCAGCGCCCCCCCGCTCAACAACCGCTTCGGCTCCATCCTCTCACCCCCCCGCCCCGTGGGCTTTGGCCAGGCCAGTTTTCCACTGCTCCCAGACATGCCCCCCATGCCCATTGCCAACTCGTCAGGAATCACCCCTCACATCTCCAACTTCAGCCTCACCTCTCTGTTCCCTGAAATCGCCACCGGCATGCCCACCGACGGCTCGGCCATGCCAATGTCTCCCCTGCTGTCTCTGTCCAACACCTCGTCTGCAGACTCTGGCAAACAGCCCAACCGCCCAGCCCACAACATCAGCCACATCCTGGGCCACGACGGAACCTCTGCCGTGTAAGGGGAGCCTGAACGCCTCGGGAAAGAATTTAAATTTGCAAAGAATTGAAGTTTCTATTTGAAATTTCTTTCAATGTTTAAAGAAAGTAGTGGTGAAGCACCAATGGAAGGAGATTTTGGTTGTTTACAAGTTTAAACAGTTTCAATTTAAAAAGTTTTCTCTTTGGCATGTGACGTCAGTCTGTTTTTGTTTTTTTCCAATATTATTAATTATGGGAACATGAAAATGTGAACCCTAAAAGCCTCCTTTTGACAGTTTGCTAAAAACTGACTCGTCACAAATGAAGTTTAGGTTCAGTTTGTGTTCATTGTGTTTCTTGTCACTTAGAAACTTTCTGCACAGTTATTTGCTAATGTAATTACTAACTTATCAGGTTGTTCTGTACAGAATAACTTTTTCCAAGAGCTATTTTGTAAATACCAATGTTTCATATCAGAATTGTTAGATTATGTATGTATTTGTAAATAAGAAATGGATTAATAAAGTTTATAATGACAACTTTGCATTTTACTCACAACTGGTGAAACGTCTTTGTTTCTTATGACACCTATATCCCCGTTAGTCGCAATTGAGGAAAGTCTTTAGAGGTTTTTTACAAGATTAAGAAAAGTGACAAAGTCTCTCATTTCATAAGCTTTTTATTTACATGCAATAGTGCTCCAGCATGAGCAGCCATGAGTGGCTGCGCCTTTCAGGGAGTGTAGATTCAGGATCTCCTTCATTTCAATCACAGATGTCTCTGTCAAAGACTAATACTTTCGCACTGACCGGTGATGGAGGAATAATACTGACACACCTGTCACAGCACCATCACCTGGCAGTCATTTGGTAACCAGCAAATGAGTAAACAAAGAAGTGGCTGCGGTACAAAGTTCAGCTTATCAATGACTGAGTAATTTTCCAGAATCTCTCCCATTCAGTGATTTAAGAAATAAAACTCCAAAAACAAATAAATAACTATACAATATATAATCTGTTGTACACTACTGAAACAATGATTTATGTTTGCATACACTTGTTAATAGGTTGTTAATGATGAGCAATGCATAATACGTTTGTGTTACTGCTATACAAAACGACAACTGTATCTTGAAAACATGACAACAGAGGTAAAGAGCGGCGCAGCACCTCACAGTTACGGCATCAGACTGATTCAAATGGTCCCTTTGATTCTGTTGTGCATAAAGCTAAGTACCTAAAGTCCAAAAGATGGAGGGATGTTTATGAGGAATGACGTGAGGAGAGGAGGGGAGGGTCTACAGGTGAAGTGCTGCACTGAGAGGAAGAGCCCTCTTCTTCACATGGGGAATCAAGCGTCTAACCTACATCGCTGCCCTGGAAATGAAGACGGAGTTCATCGCCTTAACTCCCTTCGTTTAAGACATGGTGTGAGCAGGTGAATGAATAGTCTTTTTCAATATGAAAATATCCTTATATACAGTATAATCAGACACTTATGTACAAAAGCATAAATATATAAATATCTGTGATACAAAAATAAATATTTTCTATTGTTCTCTTCTGCTCATTCAGCTGTGTCTTATGCATCTGTGGCGTCGACCGTCCCCGAGCTCTGAGGGGACGCTTCGTTCGGGAGGATGTCCACTTCCTTTAGAGCATCTTGGGATTGTGGCGTTGAGGCCTTTGAAGACGGGGTGGTGAAAACTCCCTCGTCTTCTCCGGACAGAAGATGGAGAGATGCTGGCTCTGCGGGCAAAGAAAAAGAGAGACGATGAGTTAATGTAAGCCTGAAGCCATCTAAAATTTACTTTGACTGTCACGTCTTTTCCTCTTTAGTTGTTTGTGATTATAATAACCAACAAATTCTGTTTGAAACATTTGGGCTCCTGTAATCAATGGAAGTATCTGCGTACTTTGGGCGATATCCTGGGCTCTGTCCCCACCACAGAGGCTGCAGTCGCCTCCCACTTCCTGTGCACTGGCAGCCTGATGGGAAGACGCCAGGAGCTGAAGGGTGGAGTCCTCGGGAGAGCAGCAGGTTTGCTCGTGATAATCGAGGCCACTGGGGAAAACCAAAAAAACACATTTATGAGCTGAAAGGTATCATTGTTATCATAAGTCATTAAGTCACAAACCGTGACAATTGTATTCCTTAAAATATACATTTCTTTCTTTATAATCGTGATGATATAACACGCAAAGATTAAGCTAAGCTTGTTTTGGGGCTCGTCTGTGTTTAATTACACAGTAACTACTAAGTTTAGCAAGTTAAACACTAGTTTAAGACTTCAGTTCTTTCAGGTCAATTTGCCTTCAGTTTAAAAAACAAAACAAACTTTTGTATGGGTTCAGGATTAATGGATTACTTGAGTTCTTTACAGTATGAGTTACCTGCTTGAGTAGTGATAGACCGGCAGCTGTCCATTTGACACCATCTGTGGCAGTAGTGTGTCACACTCCATATCACAGTTCACTTCATCCTGCAAACCACAAGCACATCTGGATTATAGATTCAACAATAATAATAATAACAATAACAATAAATAACTTTATCGACAGCAATAACAGGTACATTAGGAGTAACTCGTGGCTTCGTTTTACCTGCTGCAGTCCTGGAAGGCAGTTATGTGGGTGGTGAGCCTTTCCGTTCTGAGGGTATTCTCCGTTAGCGGGGTAAATGCCATGTTGAGCCGCCAAGTGTGCGTCCAGCGGACAGTGTCCAACCAGGGCAAGTCCCTGAAGGGGAACCATCGTGTACTGGCAGGAGGACACGGGGGTCGCCACGGCGGGGAAACACAAGTCCGATGTTTGCTCTGGAATTTTGCATAAAAAAGAAACGGCACATGTAGAGGCGAAGATCTGAAGCCCTGAAAGACTTGCGGAGCTGTGAGGAACACCTACTTTGTTTTGCCCAAGCTCGCCACAGGCAGAAGGGGATGAAGGTGACAATGATGAAGACAAAGGCTCCCAGGACAATACCAACTATGAGGTAGGGGATGTCACTGTGCCTGATCACTGGCCGGGTGCCCTCCGGCTCCAAAATGGGGTCCTCTGATGGAATCGGCCGCATGTGATTAGGACGAGCTGAAGAAGCCAAAAGCGTCATAAACTGTAAACAGACTGAAAACACTCAGACTACACCGTCTGCAACCCTGCCCCCACCCGACAAACAACCTTACCTTTTGTTTCTAGTATGACCACATTTCCAAATTCACTCTCCCCCTTCTCGTTGAAGCTCTGCATCTTGATGTCGTAAGCGGTCTCGGGCTGCAGGTCAGTGATGGAGTGCCAGTATCTGTCTCCCTCCACCACATCCTTCTTGTAATCACTGTCATTATCGCTGTCTGTGGGCCGGTAGTAGATGTAGAAACCGTAGATGGGCGTGTTGTTTACCGGAGTGTACTGTTGAGAGGGAAATAAATCAGATTACAATCGCAATGAACTCGAACAAAGACTCTCTTTAACGCTTGAACTGGAGCTTGCCGAATACTCACTGTCCATTTCAGAATGATGGTGGTTTCATTGATGGCCTCGTTGTAGGTGATGTAGGGTCCATCCACGGGGCGTTCGTGTGTTCTCCCTCCCACAACCGTGTACGCCTTGGAAGGGGCGCTGGGAGGACTGGAACCAATCACGTTCACCGCCACCACGCGAAACTTATAGGATGTACCTACAGGGAGAGGAAGGAGCATTCATTATCCGTCTCGCGGGGCTTCAAATCCTATACTGACTAATGATGTTGTTTTAAGTTTTCCTTCTCAGAGCAAATGTCATGTTGATTGTGACCTAGTTATGCTCTTGATTAATAGCAGTAATCACTGGAATGGCTCTAACAACGCTCATTATGGTGATAAATTTACCAGCCGTGGGAATGTAATTATGCAGGGCATCATCATTTTAATTATATGTTGCAACATGTGATGACTCCCCCCACCTCCAGCGTGTCACAGACACACAACTAATGTGAACAGCGGCATTGTTTTTACTCGAGCGGTCTGACCAACCTTTCTCCAGGCCCCTGATTTCCACAGAGAGTCTCGAGGGGGGAATGTTCTCCACCGCCGTCACCCAGTCCTCGCCGGCTTTCTTCACCTTTTTGTACTCCACCCGAAAAGACTGGATGGGGAAGCCGCGGTTACCGCGAGGAATCCAAGTCACGTAGGCCGACGTCTCCGTCGCCGTGGAGACGGTGGGCTTATCGGGAGCCTCTGGAGCTGCGGGAGGAGCAGAAACGCTTTTCAGATCAACAGCGAAAACAACGTCACAACGTGTCACGTTGCATTCAGCACTTACTGGCAGATCATCCTTCAGAGACGGAAATGCAAGAGAGAGTTAGAGTTGTTAGTCAGCAGCGCCCGTTGAAAGCTGACGCTATGCTACACGTGCCACATGCGGTTCATATTAGTGTTGTTAATCAGAAGGTGATATGCCGGCGTGCACTTACGCGAGAGGCTCGGCGAGGGAACTGCAGGAGTTTTTGGTGGATCAATATGTCCTCCCAGACCTTTGCGACCTGTGGAGAGAAATACGAGCACTTTTAAGACTGAGGCAGCATCCTCTGAGCCAGTCAGGAGATAGATACAAAACCCACTACATGGGTTTCTCCCACATATCTGAATGATGTGCCTGCAGCCCACCTCTGCCTGTTCTGAAAGTCATCATGGCAGGTTGTCCCAGACCCGCACAGTTCTTGGCAGCCATCTCCACTTCGTACAGGCTGTCTGGTTGCAGCTTGGCCAGAGTCAGCTTATGAAGGGAGCCAGAGATACTCCTGGAGATCCATTCAGCAAGAGGGTCTCCCTCCTTTAGGAGGAAAATCAGGGTTGGTTAGTTACTCAAAAACGTGTGGAAAGAAAAAGTTGACACAAAAAGCTTCTGGTAGCACCTTTCGGTATTTGATCAAATATTCCAGCACGGGGGCTCCCCGCTCATGCCGCGGCCTCCAGGTGAGCTCGTAGTAGTCAGCCTTGCCGGTGCGCGGCAGACTGAGGATTATGGGGGCTTCTGCGGGCAGTACCTGCCCCGGCAGTTCAGAGCAGTCCAGAGGCAACATGGCGCCAGAGACGCCGGGCCTCACGGGAGGCTGCTCCCTCAGCACCTTGTCTGGGCTGAGCGGGCGATAGATGGGGGGCAGCCTTCCCCGAGAGGAAATCCCTAAAAGAGAGAACACGTTAGAAAATTCTAAAGGACGCCAGAAAAGAGAGTTAAAAAAACCCAACTTATCACAAGGGTACGCTCTTACCGGTGGATACTGTGATGAGGCGAGCGGAGGCTTGCGAGCTCCCGACCCCGTTCTCGGCCAGGCACTGGTAGAGGCCGTCATCCTGGGGGCCTACGTTGGAGACGCGCAGACCCCGCGAGGTGAGGCGGTGGCGGGGAGACAGGACGAGGGGCTGGGCGTTGTGGAGCCACATCACGGACGGGGTGGGCTTCCCACGGGCCTGGCAGACGAAACGCACCGTGTCTCCATGCTCCACCTCCTGCTGCTGCAGCTCCACCGTCACCTGAGGGGGCTCTGCAGAGGGGGGAGGGGGGGGGATCAGGACACATAATCGGAGTGAGACTCTGCATGTTAATGTTTGTACAGCAGACGAGCCTGTGCTAATAAGTAAGAGCCTGTGAGCATGGCACACAAGTCAGCTCAGCCTTAACAGTGCATCTCAGTAAAAACAACAATCAGTGTTTCTGTAGGTGATGTATAACGGGGGGGAGGTAGAGCCAGGCAGGCCAGCTAGTTGATGGTTGGCTGCTTGTGAATAGGGAAGAAAGACAGAGCTCATTACAGCTACAGCAGCACTCTGACTTTAATTATAGCCAGCTGCAGAGAGACAAGCCAACAACACACGCACGCACACACACACACACACACACACACACACACACAACCACTGTAAAAACAGACATCCACAGCCCAGACACATTCAGTCAAGCAGTGGTAGAGAAGAGACAGCTCTGTCTCCACCTTTACACCCTGCGCTCACGCAGACCCTTGTCCCCCAACTAAACCAATAATAGTCTGAATAATTTTAAAACTCAAGTCCAAGAGAAAACTCTGCAGTTAATTTTTTTCATTTAACACTTAAAAATCGGACATTTCTTTACTCACCGAAAACCTGCACTTCGTAGAGCACTGTAGCAGTGCTGGCCGATCCGATGCCGTTGTCTGCTCTGCAGATGTAGCTGCCCGAGTCCCCCTCGCCCACCGCGTCTATGAGCAGGTTGCTGAGCAGGAAGCGGGTGTTGTTATGGGAGCGCAGGTCCTGCCCGTCCTTTGCCCACGTGACCTGTGGTGTGGGGATGCCGCTGGCCACACACTCCAGCACCAGCCGCTGGCCTTTGGTCACCATGATGGAGCGGGTGGCTGGCGGGTAAATGATCCGGGCTGCTTCCAGCGTGGAGCCTGACGGAGCACACAGTCAGCACATGAATCGTCATGAAGCTGCTTGCCTGCTGTCGTTTTGAATAAATCCAGATGATGAAGAGGCTAAATCAAAAATGCGAAATCCACACACTTTCATCTCCAACTTTGATCGGGGATGAAAGTGTGAAGATGCAAAAGGCATGATTTGTGCCTGTCATCATGCGGCTGAATGCGTGCTGGCAGGAACAAATCCTAAAGGTCCCGCTGACGTGCACGTACGACACAGATGTGCTGCATGTGTTCTCAGAAACAGCTGCAAGCAGACTGTTCTCTTTAAAAAAAAATTAAAACAATTCACTGAACTGATTAATTCTTGTTGAATTATTCAAGTTTTCTTATTGAACATTTGTGTCACAAATGAAAAAAAAATCATTAAGCTGGATAACAGGAGTTTGAAAAAAGGAAGAACAAATGGAGAGGTGTGAGGTTCATGTGTTTCCCCCTAACGCAGTCCTCTCTCCTGGCAGACAGTAAAAAGCTTGCCCTCTCAGCATTCGTGTAGCAGATCAGGACTCACGGCGAATGCGCAGACGATCGGTGGACGTTGAAGTTTTGACCTCCTGAGTAACGGGATTGTAAGCTGCACACTTGTACGGCCCCTCATCGTCCAGCGTGGCATTGGCTATCTGCAGGTTCCCTGATGGCATGATGAGGTAGTTCCCTGCAGAACAGAAAACCCATTTGAGTTAGAGCACTCTGACGTCCACGCAAAAAAACCCGGAACTACACTTTCTGCACACTCAGGTCTTTACTGGATCCTAAATAAAGGAGCTCAAGGACAAATAAGGTCCATGTTGTGGGACCGTGTAACATGAGCACCGCGTGCCATTCCGAGACACGTCTGCAATGCCTGCAGGGGCCACAGAGTGACGCCCTTGAGTCTGACCCGATGACTTAATGCTTCTCAGTGTGGTATTCATTTCCTCCGAGATAAGCAGCAGATATCAGCACCTACAGCTCCCAGGCATCATCAGCATACACAAACCACTAAAGCTTTTCTTCTCTTCCAGGCAACTTAGAGGTAAATAGTTTGAAAAATAAACAACTGCATTCCCAAGTTGCAACATTCTCAAGATAACAGCCTTATCACCAACTTTATGAAGGGTCAGATAGCAGGATTATAGCATTCCGGTATATTATGGAGATAGTGGAGGAATTAAGAGGGAGGCAGGGTGAGACTGAACATCAGGGACGATCATAATGGACCGAATGTAGCCGCAAGGTACCTTTGGATGTTTCCAGCCATTCCTGCTTGACGCTGTAGCGGACCTGAGCCTTGGGCTGGCTCTCAGGGACGTGACATTCAATAACAGCCGTGTTGCCTTCGTCAACTTCGATCTCATGCTGGCCGTCAGGCTCGAAGTCCCGCAGCTCTGGGGGAAAAAAAAGAAAGAAAGAAAAAACAAGAAAAATTCAGGTCCGTCCCATAACACAGCCCACCATTCTTTCATCAGCTTAATATGCTGTGTACATCACATCTAACTGCACATGTATACAGTCTGTCTTCAGCTTTAGAAGTAGAAAACTACAATATTCGGAGGAATAATGACTGTGCTGTTTCCATACACCGCCTTGTCTCTGCTGTGTTGCAATCGCATTCCCACTGTTCTCCCATCTCTAAAGTTCTCTCTTTAGCCGTTTCCTTTCCAGTGCTTAATGCAATCCACTCAAAGTTACAGGAATTTTAAAAAAGCTTGCTTGATTTTCTTTTTCTTTTTCTTCTTTGAGCTATTGCATTTCAACAGCCTAAATATGGTGTTAGTTACACTCGAGTAGGTGTCATTAATCCTGACAAACATCATACCCGGACTGGATCTGGTTCAGAGTCTGTGGGAAAAGAAGGAGTGGGATTACTGGGGCCATGTGCTGCAACCATGTCCCGCAGACACAAAGTCTGCACAGCATAGACGCACATCTGACCCCTGACCCCCTTAAACTCCTGCCTGAGCAGCCAGGAGGCCTGACCACGGGGTCAGAGGTGAGAGTGCTCCATCCGATAGGGTTTCAGGAAAAGATATTCAGTTTGGCTTTGAGAGGAAGCAGCAAAACTCCGCTTTTAAGAGGCCGGAAAAAACAACAGAACCCATGAAAGCCAGCAGGGGAGACGTTGCCATTTTTTAAATCTAAAGCAGAGGGAAACTGAAATGAGTATGACAGATGAAAAAGAGGGTAGAATGGAACAACTGTAGAAATTTGTCATGAAGGAGTCCAGCAGTGAAATGAAAGATAAATATAACTGCTCTAGGAACGGAATTAAACTTCTACCAGTCTGTTGATTTATTCCTCACAAACACAGGCTCTCCATTCTTTCCAGAGGTGCTATAACTGGTCTGTTTTTGTTGGACCAGAAACTCTCTCTCCCCAAAAAAAAAAGAAAAAAGAAAACCCAGCTTCTGGTATATGCAGTCAGCTGATCGGACATTGTATACGGCTCTAATTCAATGAGCGAAGTTCAGCGAAGGCCACAATATCTACAAAAAGGGACTGCACAGTGATTTACTCAAAGCACAGAGCAAACACATCCACAGCAGGCAGCTGATTAATTCACCATGCGGACTGGGTCTGTCCTCTGCCTGCATCTGGAGCAGCTTTAATGGCAGAAATGTGGGTCTACATACACACAGAAACACAACATGACTCCATCTCAGACCCTGTCAGCTCTTATTCTGAGAGAGATGAGAATCCCAGCCAAGACATGTCAGGCTTTGGTTGTGTGTGTGTGTGTGTGTGTGTGTGGGTGCGTTAAGTGGGGAGAGACTATGTGGCGCTCCATTTGCTAAATCAATCAGGTGCTGTTTTTTCAGACACTGGCCACCCCCTCATACCTACCCATCCTACCATCCTCCTCCAGTCTGCTTCAGCCAAATTCCTCCATTTACACCTTTTAACTCCCCGTCACACGCACTTATAACTCCTCTGCCCTGCATTCTTCATGGGAACTGCCCCACAAGGGCGCCTCTCAGGTGTGCGCGTGATGTTTTTGTACGAGCATCCAGCACGGATGGAGGATTGATTGTGTGCATACATAAAGTGAAGCAGACCTCCCGCACCAGGGCTGCTCGGCAGGGCCCACTTAAATATTTCGAGAGAGACAGTGCATCCATCATCTTTATGTGTAGCAGCAGGAGGCCTGCTTGTGCGCCTTTCTGAATTATAACATGTTGTGCAACGTGTTGTGCGTTCACGTTGTTGGATGGGGGGGGGGTTGGCATTGTCAGAGCAGGAATTCTAGCGGGGAGCTTTTTAACTTCTGCCAAAAAAAGTGCAGATACTTCAGAGTCAGATAATGTGGAGGGTCTGGGATCATCCAACTCTGATCGCGAGAAACATGTGCATGCAACTAAGACGGCTGTGCAAGGGAAGGCAAGCACGTACACACTCCCCATGGAGCAATTCCTTAGGCAATCTGGGGGTGGCTGAGGAGAAAGAGTTATTAAATTAGAGAGGTTCTTTCTTTCTTTCTTTTTTTTTTTTAGAAAGGTGGGGCAACCAATCTGGCTCCACATATGGTTATCCCAGCACGAGTCATCCACTTTCAGAGATATCAGTAACTTAGAATCTTTGTACTTTTGTAGCAAAAAAGAGGCAAAATAAATTCACGAGAGGGCAAGATGTCAAAAGAAGAAGGAATGGAAGGGATAATGAAAGGAGGAAAAGGGAGAGAAAGTGACAGGGTGAAGAGTGAAAACTGGGGAAAGGAACGTGTGAGAGTATGGGGTTATGGAGGCCTTCAAGGAGACAGAGAATGTGACACCGCGTCTCATCCTGTGTCAGAATCTTGTCTCGACTGGCCTAAAACACCTCCAGCTTCTCCAGTTAGGGCAGCCTCATACATCAGTCACATCTCTACATGTTAAACAATACTGTTAACAGCTGCCTTTTTTTTTTTACACCTAATGGTGTGTTCTTCTATTGCCTACACCCATATCCTCTGTCCACCCCCTCACACACACACACACACATACACATAACACTCTTATCTGCCCCACAGCCCTCTGCCCAATAATGGGGCCGTAATTTCTGGTGAGCCCTGCTGTCAGGCCCTGTGGAGAGGAATGCGGTGCTGTGGAGAGCAAAGGGGCCAATAGAGGCAGGGGGCCCCCATGCTTAGCCTCGATCCCCTCCTTCCTGACTCTGTCTGGCCCCCGACCCATGGGTCCCCTCCATTCCTTAAGCTCAAGTTTCACAATTTCAGGCCCTCTCTCAGTCCCACGATGCATATCAAATGTAACACCAGCAGACCACTGAGGCACTAGAGACGTCAGCGTCAGGAGTCAGACATTTCAGCTCTATTAGCAGAACGTGAGGAAGCCCACACTGCAAACTAATATTGTTCATCGAAGACGTGCAACAGATGGTTCATAATCAAACCTTTGGCTGGGACTGTGTGCTTTGAATGATTAGCTTCAGTCTAACCACAAGCAGAGGAAAAGTACAGGGTTTACGATGTTGAGTTTGTAAAGTTTTTAAGCAAACAAATACCAACCCCCTTCGATGTTTTTGTTCTACTGGGAGAAAATGAAGTCAGAGACATTTTTTGGATGCCCTACCAAACCAAAAGCGGGCCTGTGTGCTTGTGTTTGTGCTTGTTTGTCTCGGCGCTGCGTGGGTGGACACTCACTGGCAGCAGTGACGTTAGCGGGCACGCTGGCCAGGGCCCCGGCGCCGGTGCTGGCCACACACTGGTATCTGCCCAGGGTCAGGTTGGAGAGAGACGGGATGAACAGGCTTCTGGGCCCCACCGTCACGCCCAGATCTCCGTTGATCAACTGCTCGCCGTTCAGACGCCAGCTGACTCTGGCCGAGGCGGGTCGGGCGCTGCAGCCCAAGGTGACGCTGCCACCCAACTTCTGCACCACGGACACGGGCTCCTCAGTGAACACTGGCACCTCATCTGGAGGAAGCAGAAGGGTTTTATTAGAACAATAATAAGTGGGTTGATGGCAGATGTTGGGTGATGCATTTTTAATGCATACGTTTGGTTTTACTCTCTCTGTTCAGTTTAAGTGCAGTAAGATTCAGTCTAAATAGATTTTTCTCCTCCTTGCAACCAGTATAGTATTTTTTTTAACACTCCAATAATGTAATAATCTCGTAGTATTACAATTTTGGGCAAGCCTGCAATTGCCTTTCTGTATGCATATATAAACAGTTGCGTTTGAGTAATTGGCATTATTCTAAAAAACATTTGGGTACACAGTTTATAGTCTCAAAAGCAATGAATTTCCACTTTGCAAACCAGCGCCTGTTTTCCAGATGCTGTTTTATGCAGTTTAATCTTTTAAGCTACCAACTGGGTGACCCCGGACGGGCTGATTTTGGTTCCATTACAGAGTCTGTTTGGTTCTTTAAAGTCACTCAAAGAGTTGATTAATATGGTTGGATTCAATCATTGGAAATGGTTGTGCATGCCAGTGGTCACTGACACTCTTTTATACTGCGTAATGACGCTGGAAAGTGGCCGCTGTGTGATTGGAGGACTGACTAAACAGAACACATAAACATTTTCCCTCACAACACAAGGACTTCTGCTAGAAGACGGCGTGGAAGCAAAGCTGCATGTGTAGCAGACACACAGCAGGCGTGGTAAAAAAATAAAAAAAACAATAAAAAAGTGGCAGACAAATGAAATGTGTAACAATCTATATTTGCCTCCTACAAGAATTCCAATTCCAATTCTAAAATTGAAATAAATATCCTTAAATAATATAAAGAAGTCTACAAACTAAAAAGTCAAATAAGATCATTTTCCTGGTGTTCCTGTAACATGAAATGGACATTGGACAAATTGGACAAATTTATTTTCCTGTCCTAATTGATTTGGGGAAAATAATCCAGGTCTCAATACAAGACTAACGTACGTTTCCACTTTCAGCTCAGGCGTGGTGACAACTGCTCAATAAAAAGCAGCTCAATCCAGCTGCGTTTGAAGCGCCATTTCACTTTTTACAGTGAAAGGGAAGCAGATGACAGGGGACCGCCATTTTACTGATATAATACATTCCTATTTCAGAAAGTAATAATATGGAGGTTAGAAAATTCTCAGATCGGAGGCCAATGTGCATTTAATTCACTATTCAGCATCTACTCACCTGAGGCTGAAGCGCCGCCCTGCAGGCAGCACAGGAGTACTGCACCCAGAGCGCACAGCACTGGAGCTCTTCTCTTTTTCATCCAAGGGGTCCAGCCTCGCTTTCCAGACATCTTCCATACACTGCCCCCTAAAGAACGAGAGTGAGGACAGTTAGACGGCCATTTACATAACGGGGGCTGTCAAAACAAACAGCATAAGCAGCGCTGTGTGTTGTTCTGACAGACTCAAACAAACACACAGCGGATCTGCACCAATGACAAAACCATCACAACACAACATCCACCTAAAGCGGGAGTTAGACACGTCTGCTGAAGCCCAACTCGCACGCACACAAGCAGGCGGCCATCAACACGGCCCAGGTGAGGCGGAGCACTCTGCCGCACCCTCAGCACCAAAACCCGAGACAAAAATAAAGCCTTTCTCTTCTGTCAGCCCCCATCTGACTGTGGACCCCATCCCCTCCCCTGCACCCGCAGCCTTCCAGCCAGCACTCATCAAAGGGGCGCCCTCATTCTGCGGGCCGTAACCTGACCCCCCTGCCGTCCCTCTCAGGTGTAACCGATACAGGTAGAGGAGGAAGGAGGGAGGAAGGGGGAGGGAGAGAGGAGGGGAAGGGGGAAAAAAAAACACAGGGTGCATTCAAGAGTCGGGACAAAGAGCAACTAATGAGAGGCGGGAAGGGAGGGGGTCGGGGGAAATATATATCACAGCAATGTTTTTAGGATGGAGGAAAGGAGTGCTTTTATACCTCGCAGCAGCATGTGTTGGGAGCAAAGCGGAGAGGACCACGGTAATGGTCAGTCTATTAACAGTTAATGCAGAGGGGAGCTTTTCTCCCTTGTCGCTTACTGCCAAGTTTCCTGAATTCTTTCCTGTCAGGTTAAACTAACAACTTCCCGTCAGGATGAGGAGGGTGGTCCTGCAGAACTGAACCTCTCTTTCTCCCACTCACTCACATACACAGGCTGCATGTCACTGAACACACTCAACTGTCCCGCATAAACCCTCCTGCAAAGTGGGGGCAGAGCAGAGAATTCACACACATTTTTACCCCCATCCTAATACAGCACACGGGATGATTAATGGCGCTCAGGCACAGTCTTTAACACACACACGCACACACACACTGAAGGCCAAAGTAGGACAGAAAGAGAATGGAAACTCTTACAGCGCACCTTCATCATCTAATGGAAGCAGTAAAAATGTTTAGCTGCCTGGCACATTTATTGAAAATGAGTAAAGGAGTAAGCTAATGGAAACCCTGTTGTTAACGTCTGCAACTGCTACACGAGACCACACACTGCTCCGCTGCATTTTAATTGCCGATCATGAAAGCATAAACATTTCTGATTTGTGGAATTCTGAGGATATTAACGGAGACAAAGCAGCACGACATTCACAGCAAAACTTTGTGCTGGGGGCCAATTTTGATGCCGGAAAGAACTCAAAAACTGACTTATCAACGCGACCAATTGTAAGCAGAGCTTTCCTTTGCAGGATTTTTCAGATGATGGACAAAAGAACTCAAGAAGTCAGAAGATGATTAACTCTCAAGCTTCCTCTGGGTTATCTTTGTATAGACTTCATACAAATTATAGAGACAGGAAAAGGGTTACAAAACTGATCCTACTTAAGGTAATATGGCTCAACAGAGTACGTCTAGATACAAAATGATATCACAGATACAGCCACAGATTGAATTAGTTCTCTGAGAAAAGAGCCCTCCTTTCCTACTTAAGGTTTGTTGAATGACTACTTCTTCTACTGAATTACAGCAGCACTAACTAATCGGCCGCCCCTTTGTGACAGAAATCGAGCAGTATGTTTTGTTGCTAACATTTAGGTTATATAGACTGGATTAAATGCTAGATGCAGAGATGGGGGAACAGCATGCCACTTGATAGTTAACTAGCAGGCTTTTACTGGCAGTATAACCGCTGAGTCAAACTGCACAATTTGCTGGCACAAAAAAGCTCTTTTTCACTTGCAGTCATCATTCTGGTTGACTGTTAGTTTATTTCTTTACTATTTCGGAGTAATTAGGGGTTTAGTTTCTTTCTACAATTGAGTGATTTTTTTTTTTTAATGTCTACTCAGATTTTTGGATGCCATCTTTTCTTGAAAACATAAACTGCCGACTACAGCGTACGTTAGCAACCCCTGGTGCCCCAAAAAGCCAAAAAGGTGGTTTCACCATCCTGCTTTTGGATACGTACAGTTTGACTGACCCCCTCGTCTGCAAAGAGTGGTCCATCAGGAGTGGGTCGACTCTGTAAACAAACAGCAAGCTGCTGTGGGACCAGGCGCCAGAAGAGCTGAAAGCCTGTGGCTTCTGTGGCTACTCGCTGTGTAGACGCAACCGAGGACTACAGCCCATAAAAGACACATAGATGTATACCCAGCACCTGTCCTCAGCCATACCAGTCAGTCAACCAACTGGACACACAGCAGGACATGCTACACAAAAAAGGTCCTCTTACCTGTCCAGTTGGCTACAAAAAAAGGCTACAAAAGAGAAGGGGCAGAAACGGTGATAGAGATTTGTTGGAGTAATGGTATGAGAAGGCCCCTTGTACATCATCACTCCCTTAAAAACAGCCTTCCTCTGAGCCTGTCTGCCTGATTCATTAGTCAGCTGGGCCCTGTGTTTGCTTAGTGGATACCCTGCCTCAAGATGAAAAGTTGGCCTGACATCTATGTCCAACTTTTTCCATCCAACCCTCCAGGAGAAGTCACAGGCTTAGAGGGAGAATAGCCTCCTACACATCAACGTGACTGATAGGAAACAGAGCCTGCCTGCAGACAGCTCCAGCCTAGAGTCAGAGTCAATGTTTGTTGGAGAGAAAACATGCCTTTGAACATTTGTGCTGTGGGCTTACCAGCAGTTTTAGAATCTACTGTCCTACACACGGCCCAAAACACCTGAAAAGGGCCTGTTCCCGGCCAGAGGTGTGCTCAGAGCAGAAGAACTAAGCAAATAAATGCAGGATCTCGTGGAGCAACTTGTTGCATCATTATACCTCACAAAATATGTTTGAATAGATAGGTTAAGGAGTTTGTTTTGGCATCGGTAGTTTTGGCATGTGGTACATGGAAAGCTGCCAGATTAGGTTTGTGTGTTGTTGTTTTTTTAATGTCTGTGTATTTGGGGCACGTTCGTAGCAGCCGGTTGGGCATGCGTCACCATTCCAACGTTGGCAAAATACAGCCAAATATTGACTTGTCCTTCTGGCTAGGTGGTTTTAAGTCACCGCATGGCCAGATGTCCTGCCGACCTTTGTGTACTGGATGAGCCCGTCCCTGCTTATCGCACGCCCTTTAAAAGGATTGTGTTCAAAGGCTGTGACATTTTAATGGTCATCGTGGAGAAATCTGAACCCATCGTGGCCTGGTTTTGCGTGTGAAGACATGTGCCTTGGTCAAGCCTGAAGAACCAAAGGCTGGCTGGGAGTAACCTGTGACTTGACCTGCACACAGCTTAAAAGACTTCAAAAACAGCTCTGGGTGCAGGTGTCTGCGGGTGTGTGCTTTTGAGATTAAAGGAGGGGGAATATCTGGCGTGGAGGAGCAGTAACAGACAGTCTGAGGCCGCGCTGGTGGTGTGCAGGCATGCATCGTGAGTGTAGGTATGTGAACGCCTTATATGTTGCCGTGTGCAAGGGTCACTTGACAGAAGTTCATTGTGAGCGTGCTAAGTAAACCCACCAAGGTCCCCCTTCTCTCAAGCCACTGCCAGTCCTATTGTCCCCCTGCCTTCGTGGATAAATTCATTTTGACAACCCTGCTAATTGGATAAAACCAGACTGGAGCCTCCTGCCGGAGCTCTCACATTCCATCTGCTTTCGGGCATGGAGGAGATACACAGGAGGGAGGAGGCGGGGAGGGGTAATCGGGGCAGTAACTCCTTCTGAGTAGCCGAACTGTTGAATATTTATCACCTTCCCAAATTCCCCTATTGCCCCCCCCCCACCTCCCATTTTCTAGTTTTATGTCTTTTTACACTCCAGGCCTCCCCTCCCTCCCCTCGAAAGGTTCTCCAAACACCACAAAGCCCCCCCTTTAGATAAACACATGCGGTGTCAAGTGTGAGGAGTGCTGGGGGTTCAACTGCCCCGCTCGGGCCTGAAGCCCACAATGCCGCGCCGCATAGCTGCCATGCGGGAGGCCGGTTGCCCCTGGCGACGCTAACAGGCAGAACGCACCTTAATAGAGTGGAGAGTCATTGTAAAGCAGTGAGCCGGTGCATGGACAAAGACCCCGCAGACCCCTGGAGAAAAGGGAGACGCTACTCTGAAGGGCCCGGGGAAGAGCTGATGGGCCCTGCTCAATGACCAAAGAGGAGAGGGGGGTGCTCAATGACCTGGGGGTGGGGGGGCATGGGGGGGGGGTCAGTGCCTTTATGGATTGATGCGAGATGGCTGAAGGGGGGTTTATGGAGGCAATTGGCGGTGTGGGGGGGGTTGACTGAGAAAGCTGAACAGCGACTCAAATTAATAGAGAGGATGTCAACTGGCAGGCGAGCAGGAGGAGAGAGCAGAGCCGGCTCAATGAGAGGGAGCGGTCGGGAGAGCATCCCTGAATGTCCCAACATATTTTCCCCCCACTCTGTCAATCTGTTAGCCGGCCCCTCGGCCTGGCCTGGGGTCTCTGCTCGGAGGAGGAGGAGGAGGACCAGGCGAGTGCGAAGGCTGATTATTAAGAAAAGAAAAGAAAAAAACACACCAGGGCCAAAATACCATCACGCTTATAAGCCGCTGTCAGAATATCCAGTCAAAGGCAGTAAGGACAGAAACACATAAATAAGAATTTCCCTGTCCATTGTCTTTGGAGTAACAAGGGAATAATTTTACCCAGATCCAGACAGTGACTTAACAACTTTATCAAGGAATTTTGGCCAATTGTTTTACCATCACGTATCTGTTGGAATTTAATTCACGCTCCACACTAAGTGACATCTGGTGGCTGCATGATTAATTGCATACAAAATCGACTGAAGACTGAAATCAAACTCCAAATGTTATTTTTTCATAAGCAACTATAATTGCTGCCTAAACCTAAAAAAAAGTTGGTAAAAGATTTTGAATTTTTTTAAATAGATATAAGAAACCAACCAAAACAAAAAGTTTT